ATGTTTATCTGTTCCGTTGCGGCCGGCTCGATGTTGTCAAAGGTTACTTTCATACCTGATAAGTGATACCCCATCCCTTTTTCAAATAAATTTAAAAAAAAAATTAAAAATCAAAGAAAATTCTACCCAAAAAAAAAAAAAAAAGCAATGCATTGTTGTTGATCAAATGACAGTCTGTTGTACCAACAGCTACTAATAATGCGACACGTGTACACATATTTCGGTGTACCCTTGGCCTTAGGTTCCGGGTGTGAATCCTCGTTGACAGTCCTGTCACTTTATTATTTTCTACAGGGAGTAAAATCTTTGGAGTGAAGGAAGAGGGGATAATTTTAATTTTCAGTTCTTCAATTTAGAGAGGCCAGAGAGGAGAAAATTTATTTATATAAAATGGATGTTTAAGTTCCAGAATTTAGGAAACTAGAGAATATCAAATTCGGAATGCATAAATAAAATCTAACATGTTATCTGCAAGGATATCAGATCATATACAAATGATAGAGTTAATAAGCTAAATAGTTAAATGTGAGGGTGGGGAATCGGGGGATTGAACCCTCACCAGGTTGCATAACTATAATTGATTTTTTGTCACTGGCGTACCGCTATTTACCAAAATATAAAGTGGCTTTGAACTCCCTAACAATTAGATTCAAGTCTAAAATTTCTCACTTACAAGAAAAAAATATCGATACATCACAATATTAAACGACTATATGATATTATATTATTAGATAAAACACCATGGTAAACGCATTTTGCGTAAGATGTTCTCGAAGATGAGAAGGTTGAATGATGTTTTGAAAATGATTTTTTGATGATAAATATCATAAAACGTGCTTAGCGGTTTCTGAAATTTCGTTTCAAGCGACTCCTCGTCCATCTCTAGGGGCCGTGCGGCCCATTGTTTTTGAAAATCGGACGGCTTTTGGGACTATTTAATTTGTGAAAGGGAAAGGAAAGAAGATTGTGAGTAGATGAATTGACAGAAATATCATTCGTGACAACCAATACCTCCAATCTTCTTATCTGTTTATTTGGGTTTATGTTTTAAAGATTTATTATTATGATTATTTTTTGAAAAAGAAAAAGCAAAACGGCACTAGAATCAATAGGTCATCACTCTACCAACTTTCTCCACAAATTCAGGATTAAAACTTCATCCTTGCATCTCAATAAGAGATTTTTCAATGTGACCATCACATGAGGTGATACATCATGTGTTTTTATATAAATGGTGAGTTATGTGTGTTAAAAGATTAATGACTTAAAAATTAAAAGTTTCCATCACTTGCATAAAAACACGTGGTGTACCATCCGTATTCTCATCATACCTAAAAATTTCTCCATCTCAAGCATGTGCATTCACATCAATAAAAAAAATAAAAATAAAAATAAAAGACTTTTAAAATATGCGTTAAATTGTCGTCAATCATTTTGATTTTCTGTGAAAAATATGCGTTAAATTGAAGAAACGGGGTTGACAAAAAATGCCCTTAATTTAATAGAGATTTGTCCAAAATGACCAAAATGATTGATGTTAAACAATTTCAGAAACAACTTCTATCGATTTTAAATCTTGGGAATCAAAGTGAATAGTTATATTAACCTTAGAAATCATTTTAGCTAAAAAAAACCTTAAAAAATATTAAAAAGAGAAAAGAAAAAGCAGCCCTTGCAGGATCATTTTCACCACAATCCTATGATGTTTTAATTTAAAAGAATCAGCTTTAATCTCACATTTTTGCAATGATTAAATAGTGGTTTATAGTTAATAGTTTTTGTTTTGAAAAAAGTCACGATTATAACGTTATACGGCGTATTAATTTGCGCATTTTATGCCATGCGTAATGGTAACCCCATGAAACATAGTGGCAGACTAACGGTTAAACTAAAAAAAAAAAAATCATCTTATCAGTAAAAGAAAAAGTTTTTTCACCAGCAAAAAGTCTAAAGTAAAAAACGAAAAAAAGGCTACACCTGGTTAAAGCTACCCACGCTTGTGGTGAATCTATAATCCTTTTTTCTTTTTTTCTATTTTTATTTTTCATTTTAACACATTGATTAAACCTCTAATCCTCAATTTGTGAAAAATAAAAGTTTTTTTGTGTCACTTAATACTAAGGTCTTATTAACTTGTACGCGAAAGATTTTATGTTCCAAACTCACTAAAAGTAGAATTTGAACCACATTATTATAGTTAGTCCATTGTCAAATTTAAGCCACTTTCCTACCCCCTTAGTATAGCTAATACCGTTTGTGAACTTTTCTTCTTTTAATCAACAATGTGAAAATACAAGAGTTGAAGTCTCAGGCGTGAGGGTAGAAATTATACTTGTAGTAGAAAGAAGACAATTTATTTAGGCTAAATTTTTTTCCCACTTTTGATGTAACCTTCATGGTGAAAAAACTTTCAATTAAATCCTCGTGGTGGGTCTTGTTAGCAATTGACGTCGAAATCTAAATTTCCATTAGTTTTCCATTAAATAAACTCATGTGACTATCACATGCAGGGTTAAATTCGTCATTTCAATCTAATTTACATCCTATTCTATAGACATCTAGTATGAGTTAGGGTTTAATTGAAATTAGATTTTATAGAAGAAAAAAAAGGCTGGAACACAAAGAGTGAAACTAAACTCTTAAAACCACTTCAATGGCTAGGAGAGGAGGTGAATGTGAAGTCGCACCTAATTTCTTAGGTATGATTTAATTTCGTTTGGAAATCCTAATACTTCTAATAAACCATTGTTTCTTTTTCAATGCCAACACGTCTTTAATCATGAGTTAGAGTCTTAGTCTTACTTGAATTTTCATTCTTGTAACCCTTTGGATATGTTTTCACAATGGGTTTGGCTTCATATGCAATTTGACTAGGTTAACAGGATTTGAGGTGATGGTTAACAACGGTGGAGGTCCACTAGCGGCTATGGTGGTGGCTGGGAGCTTGAGATGAGATACGGGGACTGTTGAGTTTTTTTATCTTCACAAGTTTCTTTATTTATAATTTTATTTTAATTCAAAGGAAAACTAATGAAAAGGGCTTAAAAACTTTGAGTTTTAACGATAAGGACAAAATAAAGGTAAAGTGAATAGTACCATGATTGACCTTTTAATGTAAAAATGTGGTTTTTCGTTAAAGTGAACAGTACTGTGAGCTTTTCATTAAAATTCCCTTAATACAATCATGTTTTTGTCCTTTTATTTTCCAAAATAAATAAACTTAATTTTGACCGATCCACATATGATAGTCACATAATTTTATTTAATGGAAGACTAACGGAACTTTGGATTTGGACCTTAATTGCTAATAGAGCTCACCATGGGAGTTTAATTAATAGTTTTTTCATCACAAGGGTCACATTGAAAGTTACGTGTCATGACAGGGACTACAAAAAAATTTGGCCATTTATTTAAAGAATATGTTGAACATCTAATATTTATCTATTTTACAGGTAAATAGGGTCATCTCTTAAAAAAAAAAAATCAGATTAAATAACTAATTTTAGTGTTGAACAAATCGACTGATCTTGAAATAATTAGTTGCTCGTGATGAATCGTAGTGCCACCGATCTTTGGTCGTCTTGATTTTTCATCATATGATGATGTAGAAACTAAATATTTTCGATTTTAATTCATTATTGTATCAAGAATCATATTTTTTTACAACACTATTGGGTCGGCACACATTGTCTAAACACAAAATGACCCAACCATAATTAAATTTTAAAACTTATTGTTCATGAAAATTGAACTTGAAGCATTTCAGTTAAAAATCGAGAGAAATACCATTAGACAGTAGTGCAACTGGTTCTTAGGGAGTGTATTTGTGTGTGCAACAAAATAAATTCATGGAGTTTAACGAATTTGTAAATCCATGAAGTTTTCGTTATTTTCTAGAAATTTTATGTAACTTTTGAGTAAAATCCCTTCAAAATCTCGAAAGGAGGTGTGAGATTTACAAGTGCTTAAAATACAGTACAAAATCTCTCAAATTTCTTTGAAATTCTCAACTTTTTAAGTATTTTAAAATCAATTCCTAATTAATTACACATAGAATGTTAAAGTGTCTTTTGTTTTTTTTTTTTTGTAAAAAAAAAAAGTTATTGAATACCCTGAATTATAATAAAATATTTCAAAATTGTTTACCCAAAAAGATTCAAAATTTAAATACAATTAAACATTTAGAGAATCATATATCCCTAAATTTGTAAAATGAATTAAATTCCTCAAAATTTCAATTAAAATCTTGAGTGATTGCCCTATTAGTTTCACAAAGAGATGAAACATGAAAAGTCCACTAGCATTTGTCAAATTTCCTTGTATCAGATAAGTTTGAACTTATGACACCAGACGGAATAACTTTGATTAGACGAAATAAAAATAGAAATAAATGAGAAACGGACAAGAGGGTTGGGCTTGAGATTGACAATTGAGATGGTGATATTTGAGCGGAAGAAACATTGACAATTACAAATTTAGACGACAAAGTACACTGGACACCGAATAACAGCAGATCATGGGAAACAAAGGCAGAGGGAAGAAGAGGGATTCAATTTTTTCGAAACACAAATGATACATAATGTGTTATTATACAAATAATAAAATACGTGTGTTAAAAAATTAACAATTCAAAAACAAAAATTTTCTTTATTTATACGATGATACGTGATTTTTCACATCGTGTGCTCCGAATACAATGAAAAGGATGGGGGCAAGTTTTAGAACAAGGAGTGGGGTGGGGTGGAGGATTGTGGGACCCATAAAACGAAGTGGTGGACGAGCTGGCGAATCTGTCTGACAGACTGGTTCTTCCCATAGACAACACGACCCAACATCAACAACAATCCTCCTCTCCACTCTCTTCAAACTTCCCCCTCCTCTTCCTCCCCCTCAACTTCCACTTCCTCCACCCCCACTTCTTCCCCTCGTCATTTAATTCCCCCCCCCCTTCCCCACACTCTCTCTCCTCTCTCAAACTCTCTCATTCTCTCACTGTAGATAATCAATTAATTGATATGGCTGAGGAACACCAGAAGCCTAAGGCCGCAGCTGCGCCAGAAGCACCACCATCCGAGGAGGTTGTGGTGGTGGCTGATGCGCCGCCTGCCGATAAGTCTGTGACCGAGAAAGAAGCGGCTCCGGTTCCAGAGACGGAGGCCGAGGCAGAGAAGCCGGCTGTGACGACGACTGAGGAGGTGGAGGACAAGGCTGCTCCCAAGGCTGACGAGGATCAGAAGGCCATCGCCCAGTCGGTTTCTTTCAAGGAAGAGAGCTACGTTGTTAGCGAGCTTCCCGAGCCCCAGAAGAAGGCTCTTGAGGAGCTGAAAGTACTCATCCAGGAGGCCCTTAATAAGCACGAGTTCACTGCTCCGCCGCCCGCCAAAGAGGAGGAGAAGCCTGTAGGCCCTGTACCGGCGGCTGAGGAGAAGAAGGAGGAGAAAACTGAAGAAGTACCACCCAAAGCTGAAGAGGAACCCAAAACGGAAGAAGCAAAAGCAGAAGCAGAAGAAGAAGCCAAAGAGGAAGAAAAGCCAAAAGAAGTGGAGGAGGAGAAGCCAAAAGCAGAGGAAGAGACGGTAGTTGTGACGGAGACTGTGGTGGAGAAAGTTACAGAGACTGTTGATGACGACGGCGCCAAGACTGTGGAGGCGATTGAAGAGACCATAGTCGCAGTAGCCCCTGCTCCGGCTGCAGAGGCGGAAGCAGGCCCATCTAAAGAGACCGAGGTGGCGGTGGAGGCTACTCCCGCTGCCGCTGCTGAGGAGACTAAACCAGAAGAAGAGGCCCCCGCGGCGCCACCTGTGGCACCGGAGGAGGTGTACATATGGGGAATTCCGCTTCTGGGAGACGAAAGGAGCGACGTGGTTCTGTTGAAGTTCCTGAGGGCGAGGGATTTCAAGGTGAAGGAGGCGTTCGCCATGATCAAGAACAGCGTGCGGTGGAGGAAGGAGTGGGGCATCGAGGGGCTGCTGGAGGAAGATCTCGGAAGCCACTGGGACAAGGTGGTGTTCACTCATGGCGTCGACAAGGAAGGCCACCCTGTGTGCTACAACGTGTTCGGGGAGTTCCAGAACAAGGAGTTGTATCAGAATACTTTTACGGACGAAGAGAAGAGGGCCAAGTTCATCAAATGGAGGATCCAGTTCTTGGAGAAGAGCATCAGAAAGTTCGACTTCAACCCCACCGGAATATCGACCATCGTTCAGGTCAATGATATAAAGAACTCTCCTGGGCTTTTCAAGAGGGAGCACAACCAGGTCACCAACCAGGCCCTTCATCTCCTTCAGGATAACTACCCTGAGTTTGTTGCCAGACAGGTACTTTACTTTATTACTTACTCGTTCTCGTGGTCACCTCGTAAATCAAATCGCATTTGACATCTGAGATTAAAACGATAAAAGCACGATTATCTATTCTCCACTTTTTATATCAAATCCAAAGATGAGCGACCATGCATCCTCTCTGATCACCTGGTGAGAGAACATTTACGCGATTAATGATTAAGTGAATTGAATTTGAATTTGAATTTGTGGGTTGGATTTGGTGAAGGTGTTCATCAATGTGCCATGGTGGTATCTTGCTTTCAATAGGATGATCAGCCCCTTCCTGACCCAGAGGACCAAGAGCAAGTTTGTATTTGCTGGTCCCTCCAAGTCTGCTGAAACCCTTTTCAAGTAATTTAATTCATTCATTTTCCTTTTATTCGTCTCTAATTAGTAATATTATTGTTGCTAAATTTGTGTAACTGAAAGATAAAAATACGGAAACTAATTAGGGTGAAACATGATTACTCAGATATATAGGCCCAGAGCATGTGCCGGTTCAGTATGGTGGGCTAAGCAAGGAGGGTGAGCATGAATTCACCACATCTGACGCTGTCACTGAGATTACTGTCAAGCCAGCATCCAAGCACACTGTCGAAATTCCCGTGTCTGAGGTATGTTATCTAATTAGTAATTATTATTAAAAACGGCGACAGCAAGGCTCCCCCGCTTTAAACATTTATTATGCGCAGCCTTACTCTTGTTTTGCAAATACGCTGTTTCCATGACTCGAACCCGTGACATTTCAGTCACAAAAGAGCAGCCTTTCTGTTGTGTGGCACGCTCTCATTAATTATTGTTGTTGTTTTGTAATAGTACGTAAATTTTTAGTAAGTGTGAGTTTTTGTGAATTGATGCAGTCTGGGGAGGTTTTGGTGTGGGAAGTGAGAGTGGTGGGATGGGAAGTAACCTATGGAGCTGAATTCGTGCCAAGCGCGGAGGACGGCTACACCATAATCTTACAAAAGGCATGGAAGGTCGGGGCAGCGGATGAGCCGGTGATCACAAACACGTACAAGATTGGCGAGGCGGGGAAGGTTGTGCTGACCATCGATAACCAAAGCTCGAAGAAGAAGAAGCTCCTCTACAGGTCCAAGACCAAGCCCTCCTCTGAAATCTGATTCTTCAACAAATAAACAGAACATTCAACATTTCAACTCAAGCTCTCTCCATATTTATTTTTTTCTTCATCTTCTTCTGGTTGATATTTATTTTTGCTCCTGCAGTGTATGTGCCTGAAGGTATTTATATTTAAATTTTGATTCATATTTGTTTTAGTGAATGGGGTTTGTGGTAATTTTGGATTTGGATTGTAAACAGTAGTGGAAGATGATGTGCTGTGATGGGGGAAACATTTGACACGGTATATACTATGTTGTGTTATGTTATGTTGGTATATATGGACGTGGGAACAGATTATTCCTCTGCCTGTAAAATCATAAATCTCTGTAAATTTGGTCCGCTCCCTACTCCTTTCTTTTGGCATTTTAGCTATGAAATGAAAATAGATTGTTATAACTTTTCATTTTGATCACTAAGATTCAATAAGATTTAAAATTGATAGAAATAGTTTTAGAAATTATCCATTATTTTGGTTCTTTTGGAAAAAATCTGTTAAATTTAAGAAATTACCAGTTTAAATGGAGGGGTTGATTTGATAAAAATACTTTCAATTTAACGGTAGAAGGACGAACAATCTCAAGGGGTTGATTTGACAAAAATACTTTCAATTTAACGGAAGAAGGACGAACAATCTCAGGGACCACTTATATTCTATTTTACATCTCAAGGAACAAAGTGAGGAATTATACCAATTTCAGAGACCATTTTGAATAGAATCTTTATTTTTTATTAGTTTTGTTCTGGTCCATGTCACTGTTGCTGGTGTATCTTATATGCAGATTAAGATAAAGGGATGATTTTTTTGATAAATATTTTTACGCAAAAGTGCTTTTCTTAGTTTTGTAACAATGAGAAATTATGTAGAAAATACGAATTTTTTGGATACAATGGTCTCTTTCAAATATTAATGAGGAGTGGGATTCTTAGTGCTTGCGCTTAGGAACAAGCTCTTCTTAATGATCCAACTTTCCCTTCACTTAAAAGTCAAGAATAAATAAAAACTTTGGAATCTGGATAAGAAGAGTTTAAGGAAGTTCTTTACTGAGAGAAGTGGTGATCTCGTCTTGCTTGCTGGGAAAGAGGAAGTTTCCAAAGTGCTTTTTCCAATCAAATAGAGAGCGATCACTCAACAATGAACCCTAACTGAAAGCGGTAGGAATCTATCCCTTAAGGGAATCAAACCTGTGTCCATTTTCAAATAAAAATGAAGGCATATTTGTCATAAAAATGGCATTTTTTTGTTACCTATGAGGAAGGAAAGTGAATACCAGTGGAGGGATTCACTTTTCCCCCTTGCATTTTCATGACCAGGAAATCATTTCCCAAACCTAGACTTACCAAACATGGGAATGATAATGTTTTTATTCATGCCCAATCCCCTTTCCCGCATACCATGCGTAGCCTAATGGATTAGACGGACCTGAAAGAAACAGAAATATATACATATATGATGTGTTTATGCGAATTTTGAACGTTTTATGAACAATGAATATAATTTGAAAGTTTTGATGTTTTGCTTTGAGAACTACTTCGAATACCGATAATGGCTTGTTTGGCTAGTTACAAATAAGAAACATCGAAATTTAGAGAACTATTAAGGAGGTTCTCTGAGAAATAAGATTTGTTTTTAACTCTTTACCACTTCATTACATAATATTTTATAATATTAATATAAAAATTGATATTAAACTATAAAGCGAACTAAAGTCAGTAAAGAACACTGTAAAGGAGTTCTCTTAGCAATAAGAAAAGTGGCTAGGAGTTGGGACCACTTTCTTGATCCGTTGGCACCGCTTTGGAGGTAAACAAAAACATCACGGCACCAAACAATTCGAATTTATTGGAAGGAGCGAGTTGGACCATTTTGTTGGTCAAGAATTGTTTACTGGAAGATGATTCTCTTCCATTTTAATCTCTCTTTCTTTCCTTTTTTTTTTTATTCAAATAATTACAATTAAATCACGTCATTTTATATTAATTTTTTATAAAGACAAAAAGTAATATGTGAGAGGAGGGGATGAGAATAGAAGGGAAGAGAATCATACTCCTTATTTACTAGTGTCATGTTCCTTTATTACTCTGACAATAAACTGCTAATTTAGTTATTGAATTATCACGTGAGTATAAATTAGATTTCTAAACTATTCTTTTTTAGAAAAATTAGTCTCTAAATTATAAAAATCTATCATTACATCCCTAACATTATTTTGAAGCTACTATATTTAATTTTCCATCAATTTAATTTGCACTACTTGCATGTAATACACATTAGAAGATAGATTGGTAATTTTACATAAAGAAATAGTGTATGGAGTTAACTTTGGAGCGTAAATTAGACGTTACATTTGCAACCTATATGAAATATTAAGGGCTTATAGGCAAGAAAAAAAATCAGTATTACACTCTAAAGTATGTCAAGTGATTTAAGTTGACAAAAAATTGGATAAAATAGCTTTGAATATAACAGTAGGGATGAGATTAGCAATTTTGAATGAATCTAGAGACTTATTTTATTGAAAAAAATAATTCAGAAAACTAATTTCACTGAGGTGATAGTTCGGGAACTAAATCGGCACTTCACCCTATATTATGTATATAGGGTCAAGCTCAAAGCACACACATTATAAAAAATTGCAAGCATATATGATGTATTTTTATGATCTGCAAATTATTTTTTGAAAATTTCTAAGGAGACTATCTTAAAGTGAGATTTTCTATGAATTATTTGCCACCTCATAGTTTAACATTAATTTTCATATCAACATTATAAAACATTATGTAAAAAAAAATGAGGGGCAAAGAGTCCAACTTTTGAGAGACTCCTTAGCACTTTTTTTGTTTGTTTCCTTCAAAGATCGTCTTTACTAAAAGTCACTCAAATCCGAATTATATAACTATTCAAGTAAATGATAGTCATTTTCTTATTTCTTTGTAAAATTGTATTTGTGTTTTTATTTACTATAAATAAATGTCTTAATGGTTTTTTATTTACCTAAGTTTTTGCAAGAATGGTCTATGAATCAGAATAACAAATTGATTTGTCCCTTCTTAATTAAATTGCATTCATTAAAATTTTTAAAAGAAGATGCGTTTTTTAACAAACGATTTATCTACACTAAGGAATGGAGAAGTAGGCTAAGCCTCACAGTAATCTACAAATAATGTGGTTCAAGAGAGGGGCGTTTCTTGATATTATGAAAGCTTCACAATTTTGCATTCTCACTCTATATACAAACTATTCTCTTGCCGCAAGCCTACGCGTATGACAATTGACTTTTTTATTGATTTATTTTATTGTTTTGTTTTAATATATATATGTGTGTGTAGATGCGTTGGCAGATTCGATGCATATATATATATATATATTTTTTTTTTTGATTTTTTTTGTTTTGTTTATATATATGGGATAGAATAAGGGACAAATATTTTTAAACATTCTTACACTTCTTTGTAGCCTTTAGATTTTATAACATCCAAAGGTTCCTATTTATTCATTAAATGACTTGAATACTTATATGGATTTTAATTAATATTAAAAATAAAAATAAAATTGAAAAAACATAAAATCTAGAAGAAAATTAAAACTAAAATTAATAAAATAAATAAAATAACCAAAGTTTTGTTTGGTGCATTGAGGTAGGTATTGAAGAGATCCACCCTATCCAAAAACCAGAGATAGCCACTACTTCGCCTCTCCTTCCTCCCTCTCTGTGTTCGTCATGTCGTCGACCAGTGCTTTAAGCTCCCAGCTTTCCAACTTCCACCACCTCACCGACTCCCAGGACCACCTCTCTTTCCGTAAGCTCTCTCGAAACGCTAGGGTTTGTTAGGGTTTATTTTTGATATTATTATTAGGATTTATAAAAATAAAAACTCAATCCTTGTTTACACTAAGTATTACCTATGCCTGGTATCACATTTTTTTTTTAATTTAAAAAGTATGTTGTTTTGTTATTATTAGGGTTTATTTTTTATAAAATGAAAGAAGATATTCCATCAAGCTTCCTCACTGGCAAATAAGAAGTTTCATGATTTTTTTATTTGCGTTCAAAGTCTGAATCCAAGTCTTGATCGAAATGGAAATGGGAGAACCAATTTCAGTTAAATTATCTTCCTTTTTAATTATATTTTTAATTTTCTAGATTTTACGTATTTTTTTTAGTTTTATTTTATCTTTAATATTAGTTAAAATCCACATAAGCATCCATGTCATTTAATGAATAAATAAGAATCCTTGGATGTCATGTATCAAAAGGCTTAAAAAAAATGTAAAAGTATTTGTAAAAATATTTGTCCCTTGATCCTAAATATATATATATATGCATTGGCAAATTCGATACCGTTGAAAAAGAAAAGGAAAGGAACAGGTCGGTAGGTCGAGGGACCAGCAAATTGCACTTACCTGTTTTATTTTTTTGGTTCAAAATTGCACTTAATTAGCTCTTTAATCATACATAATAGTACATGCATGGGAACAAGGATTGCACATGTTGTTAACATTCATGATCGCTTTCCGTCAATTTGTTACACTTTTTTTCTATTTTAACGCAAACGATATCATTAAGTTAGAGTAAGCGAAAAGAACGATTTAAATAGAAAGGTTCTAACCACTATAATAATTTCCGATTTGCTTGTTTATAATTATTTTTTACTTTGAAAAGGAAAAAAGGTGAGGACCGGCAGTAATCAATCACTTTGGCACGAAAGTAAACCAAACTTAGTTGTCTTCTTAGCCAGCTCTCTATTCATGTTTGATTCCTTCCCTGGGACCCTCACCATGTTTGGTTTGTAATCATTTTCTCCACCACCTCAATTAATTAATTAGTTAAACGTATATTATTGCCTAGTTTATCATCAATTACCAGGGTCAGAGCATGATTACCGCTTAATATATTACGTGGCATATGATATTTTGGTGTTCAAGGGGGCTTCACATATAGATTCCTCACCTACTTTCTAAAACATAGGGCTGTAAATCGACTCGAAACTACTCAATCTTGTATTTGATTCGGACTTGGCTCGCGCGTTTGTTTGTGGATATTCAGCCTCTTGGAAGAAGTCAAGTTTATGTTAGGTTTGATAACAAACAAGTCAAGCTAAGTAATGATATGTTTGGTTCGTAAAACTCAAACTAGCTCGTATGTTTTCTTAAGACACCTCGAACTATGTTAGTTCAAAGTAGCTCGTATGTTTTCTCAAGTTCATTTGAAATGAAAGATCATGTGTTTTTTTTTTTTTTTTTTTTTTTTGTCAAATGATAGATTTTGTTAGATTAGTTCACCCACGGATTCGAACCCATGCTGTTATGCAAGACTTAACACATTTCCACTACTGTGGTAAATGACCACTTGCAAAATAAAAGATCATGTTTGAGATTTTGCTTATGAAGAATTATATTTGAGTTTTTTTTCCCAAGGTTTGGTTGACTTTCTTCTTTCAATTATATTTTTATACAACGATATTCTACTCTAATAGGAGAACATATTATATTTAAGGAATTATTATTAGTACTCCAAAAAGCTCATTTTACACTCCAAACTTTCTATATTTGGAAAGAAAAATACACTTGAGGAGTATAAAATGAAAATTTTAAAGTACCAATAACACTTTCCTATATTTATAATTTTTTTTTTAAAATTTGTAAGCGGAATGTTTCAACTTTAATTCACTTGCATATAATGTATTATTTTAGTGAGGTGTGGGCTTATTTATTCGTTCCAGTTGGATCACAAGTCACGGGCAAAGATCCAAGAGTTGCGAAGATATAAAACATCCAGCCCATACATTTGGGTTTTCATGATGACATCAGCTCATGTATTAAAGCCGATTCCTTTTCAGCACAATTAAAGCCATCTCCAACGGAGAGGATTAGAGTTCAACAGTTAAAAAATGATCTGATTTGTCAAAAAATTCATCAACCAATCAATGGTTAAATTATTATTTTATGAAATTCACCAAATTATTATTTGGCCAAAGGAACATCGGGCTAGTTGAAGTAGCCCCCCTCTTAGTCTTTTTTGAGGCTCAGCTCCTCAATTAAAATAATTTATTTAAATTGAATGGTTAAATTTGAAAACATTTAACGATAATTTATCTAAATTGACTAATAAATTTAAAAGTATAAACTTAAAACTATTATAGTATTGAGAGGGTTATGTTTAGATATTTTGATTGAAATGATATATGAGACGACTTGACATTGTTTATTTAAAAATAATTTTTTGCAGAACCATAATTCTAGACAGGACTACGTTTAATCCTTTCGGTTGAAGATAACCTAACTCATTGATATCAAGTAAGTCCTGAGTTTGACTCTTGGTGCTAGACTGCTAGTTATTCAAAGAGAGATTGAAACGCATCTGTGAGATTTTCCGATCCCCAAAAGAATAGATTGCTGTGACGAAAGCCACCGACTGAATGCTTTTTTTAAGGATAAAAAGAAAAGAAAAACTGTAACCAGAAAAGCATAAACTATAATACAGAAGCCACGCAGAATTACAAGGAAAATAGAAACTATAGTTTTGAAAATTCAAAAGTTACCACTGTATTTTTCTGATATAACTAGAAAACCCAATTTACAGAATACAACACAAAAAAGATGATGATAAACAAGTATGATGCCAACCGACCAAAGTGCACATTGCACAACAGGTGTTTGAAGTGCTGCAGCCTCATTCAAATCCTTAGTAATCGAGGGGTTCGATCTTGAACCTGTACAGAAGCCTCTTCTTTTTCGGGGTTGGGTTGTCAATCTTGAGCAATATTTTACCCAGTTCCGTAACTTTGAAGCTGTTACTCACCACTGGCTCATCGGTCGGGCTCATCTTTGTGGCTTTCTGTATGATGATTGTGTATCCATTTTCGGCATCGGGCACAAACTCAGCCCCGTAGCTCACCTCCCATCCGACCACACGGAGCTCCCACACAATGGTGCACTTCTGCAACATATCAATTCCATATGAATTAAAGCAATGACCCATGAATAATAATTTAGCACCTGGCCAATGCTCATATATTATAAAAGTAGAGCAAAAGAGAAGCAATCAAACCTCATATATTATAATTTCCACAGTTTGTTTCGTTGCAGGTTTAACTGTAACATCGGCCACTGGATCCTCAATGGTAAATTCAGGGTTGCAGTCACAGTAATCGACACTCAAGCCACCATACTGGATCGGAACATGCTCAGGAGAGATGTACCTGCATTATCCGCCAATCGAAATTTAAACCAAAACTAACCAACCATACATATATATATATATAAGATCGTAAGCCGGCTTGATACCGAATGAGAATTGCGGGCATAAATTGATAGTCACAATAGAGAGTAATCCTACTAACTTGAAAAGGGTTTCCTGCGGTTTTGGCTGGGCTAGCAACAACAAACTTGCTTTTCGTTCTCTGCGTCAAGAACGGACTGATCATGGTGTAGAATGCAAGATACCACCACGGCGCATTGATAAACACCTTCATTAACAAGATTTATCCATAACCAAACCAAACCAACCAAACAAACATCAGCATTCAGTATTCAATACCGAGATATCAATAATACAAGGTTACCAAAATCAACAGACAACAGACAATCAAGTAAGTACTACGTAGTACCTGTTTGGCTACGAATTCGGGATAATTGTCCTGGAGCAAGTGAAGAGCCTGTTTGGTGGCCACTCGAAGTTCCTTCTTAGCCGGACCAGGAGAATTCTTGAGATCATTGACCTGAAAAATACTACAAACACCACCGGGAGTGAAATCAAGCTTCCGAATACCCTTCTCCAAGAACTGAACCCGCCACCGGAGAAACTTGGTCCGCTTTTCCTCGTCCGAGAATGTTTTCTGGTACAGTTCTTTGTTCTGAAACTCTCCGAACACATTGTAACACACAGGGTGACCATCCCTATCGTACCCATGAACAAACACCACCTTCTCCAAATCATCACCGAGATCCTCCTGCACAAGAGCGTCGATCCCGAATTCCTTCCGCCATTGAATAGTGTTGCGAAGCATCACAAAGGCATCCTTCACCTTGAAGTCCCTCGCCCTCAGGAACTTGAGAAGAATCACATCGCTCTTATCGTCCTTGAGAAGAGGGACTCCCCAAATGGACACTTCCTCCTCCGCCGCGGCGGCGGCGGCACCACCGATTGTGCTGTTTCTTTAGCTACTTCCTCTGCTTCCTTCACTGGCTGCTCTTCGATTTTGGGTTCATGGGTTGGTTTTGATTCTGATTCCGATTTGGAAACCGGTGCTCCTGGTGGTGGCGGTGCTTGTGCTGGTGCTTCGGCTTTCGGGGATGTGAACTGGTGAGTGTTGAGAGCTTCCTGGACGAGCTGCTTCAGTTCTTGAAGAGCTTTTCTCTCTGAATCTGAGAGATCGGCCACTACGTTACTCTCCTCCTTGAACGAAATCAAAGATCGAGGAATCTGCTTTTTCTCCGCCTCTTCTTTCACCGGCACAGACCCCACCGCCGCAACTGGTGGTAGGTGCAAGTGCCTCTTCTTTCTCAGACTCTGTCACTTCTGGCAGCGACGGTGGTGGTGGGGGTGCGTCTTCTTTAGACTCTGGTTCCGTCAAAGCCGGTGCTTCAGGCTCAGAAGCGGCAGGAGGCGGTGTCGGCGGCGCTAGGTCAGATGATGGTGTTATGGGGATTTCGTCGGCCATTTTTGGAGATGGAGACGGGAAGGAGGAGTTAGGTGGGCTAACTTTAGTTGGTGTTGAGAAGCAGAAGGAAGATATGGAATTATGAAGGAGGAGGAAAGTGAAGAGAGAGAAAGGGAAGCGATGGTTTTGTTTTGTCAGTGAGTGAGTGGCACTGTCAGCGTGGTGAGGGATGTGTGAACTCAAGCATGCTCACCACATGACACTACCAGCAGTCAGAAGTGTAGTAACACCGTCAGGATCCATGCTTCAATCTGGAATCCTATGCTCTTCAAAGTACAAGCCCCACCCCTCTTTTGTTTTTTTTTTTTTTTTCCTTTTATGTTTTTGGAAAATATTTTAGATAATATCAAATATTATAGATTGTCGCTTTAGCATTAGGCAAAAGATATTTTTGCATACCACTTTAAAATCTTTTGCATACCACTTTAAAATGACAGTGATGCTCACAATTTCATTGATTATTGTCAAATAAATTTGATTTAATATCTATTATCAAAATCTTGAAATTTAACTAATTTAACGAAATTAATATGGAGTAGCATCTCCACTTTTAGGTGGTGAGCAATAATGTATTCTATCTTTTGTAACACTTCAAAAATCTTATTTGCCACTTCTCATAAGTTTATTTATTTTTAATTAAATATAGAAAGTTTGGAGTGCAAAATAAGAATTATGAAGTGCTAATAACAATTATCTTCTCTATTTTTGTTTCTTGTCTATTTGAATGGTATAAATAAACTGAATTAAAATTACATAAGGGGAGAGAAATAAGCTTTAAGTTAAAAAAAAATTTAGGTCCGTCAAATAATTTTACAAAACGATTTTTGAAAAACTGTTTTATGAAAGAAAGACGACTAGAATTATACATTTTTATCATTTTAGAACGATTTTGATAGTTTAGTCCAAAAATGATATTCGAGAATGAAAACATTGAAATAGCTCAGTTTTTTTATTTGAAATCATAATTATATAAATTTAAAAAATCCGTGTGCAAAACTAAACTTGAAATTCAGAAGTTTCCAGTTCCATAAACTGGCCCTAATCTGGGCCCGAACCATATAAAGTGAAAAAAGAAAACGCTGGGCCTACCGTTTGAAGAGGCCCATATACAAATTCAACTAAAGCTCAAAATTATGCAGCTCGAAACCTAAACGGACACAGCCCCCAACCAAAACCACAGAAGAATCTCAAAATCGAAGCGCAGAGCAAGAGGAGAGAAGCAAGAGAGAGAGAGAGAGAAAAGAATCAAAGCAGAAAGAGAGAGAGAGAGAGAGAGAGAGAGGAATAATTCAGGTGGCTACAATGGCAGACAGCAAAGAAATCATCCCACAGCAGTACGACCTGAACGCCAAATGGGACGCGTGTCTCGATCTGACGGTCCGGCGCTTCGTCTACTCTTCCTTGGGCGGTGCCTTTGGCGGCCTCCTTTTGTTCAGTCAGTTCTCTTTCTCTTCTCCCCTTTTCCTTTTCCCTTTAATTTTCTTGTTTCTCCGTTTTGCTTCTCTGCAATGATTAAATACATATTCCAAGCATATATATATATATATGTGTGTGTGTGTGTGTGCAAATAATTGGAAGATTAGTTGGTTGGATGATGGATTGCAAAATGTTTGCCACTGCAATTTGGAATGCCCAAAGTTGTTCGGAACACGAACACTCCATATTTGCCTAATTGAATTGACCTACATGGGACCTTAATTTGCCTTCATAAAGCATACATACTGGGATATATATGTGTGTGTGTGCGCGCGCGCGCGTTTGTGCGCAACCTGGTTATGCCCAATGAACGTGAGAGATTGTAGAACTTTTCTCGATCCATTACTGCATTCTTTGTGTTCCTTATTTTGTAACATCAGAAAAATGGAGGGGGTAGGATCTCCGGCTATTTGCTTCACTTGGACTTTATGGCTATGTTTGCTACACCGCATTACTTTGCCGGATTGAGCTATTATGAGTTAGTCTAAGTTGTATCAAACAGGGTGCTATTTAGCAATCTCACTAAGTGGGACTAGTGCCTCACCTAGTCTCCTTATTTTGACCTTGTTAAAATGAGGGCATTGAACTAGAGCCAACCCAAGCGAAGCCGAACCAATCCAAACCAGTCTGGATAATTAGGTCCAAGCCATGCCAATCCTATGTATCAAACACTCCCGATAGGTTTTTTTAAATAAAATAGAGCTTACTGTTTAATTCAATAACATGAAATGTGAGGTTGGCTGCCAATGTAAAAGTAATGTTGTTACCATTTTTATTCATTGGTCAAAGAGAAGAAGATTCAGGTTAGGTCTTCATGTTTTAGTGGCTTTAATTTGGTTTATTACCATCGCTCAGGGTATTGGGCTATTATCAAATGCAAAACTTTGGTCAAAGCTATCTTTCTTTCTTTAACAACTCTCCCATCGTTCATGAGATTTGAACTTATGACCTCCATCAAAGAGGAGAAGAAATGCAACCCAGGCTGGATAGTCATAGGCTATCCCGAAACTATCTTGAGCATGATGTCTACCATCCCCAATTAGCCTTTTTCTAGGAATTGGTTCAGGATATTGTTATTTATCGTTGCAAAGTAATTTCCATTTGCACATTTTCCAAAAACCAAGCATTCGGTACAGTACTGTTTAGTGGCTTCTAATGGAAATTGGCTTGGAGCCTGTCTAATATCTTGAAAAATTCATACCAGTAATTTGGTAGATACAGCTAATTGCCCTGCCATATTCCTGCAATGGGACCTCACCATGATAAAATGACAACTAGACACTCCGATGTCATTGGTAATCTTATAAAAACAGACTAATTGAACACACGAACATGTACCTTCATCGAATATTCTTGTCCAAGTATATGTATCATCATGAGCTTTCAAGGGTATGACTTTCAAAAGCATAAAAACATAAGTAACGTTATTTTTTACATTTTTATTGTCCTTTTGAGGTTCTTTTGATGCTTTATCTAATTATCATTAGGATGAGACCAATGTCTTTAATTTGCTTGAACAGTAAATATATGTTTTAAATCTTTCAAAATTAGTGATCTTGAATTAATAAATGTATTTTGTTGTGTCTTACTCTTACTAGGGAGTCCTGTGACTCGTTGGACTTCTGTAGCTTTTGGTGCTGGAGTGGGCATTGGATCTGCATACACAGAGTGCTCCCGTTTGTTTGAGGGATCTCCTGCAAAGTTGGCTGCTCCTAAGATTATTGAGGTCCCTGCTCCTCAGGTAGAGCTGATCTCTTCTGATTTTAAATACAAAAGATAAAGGGAGAATTAAATTACAACCCCCCTGTGGTTTAAACATATTCCATTGGGACCCCACACCATTGGTTTCTTCCACCAACATTCCCTATTTTCAATGGAAGATAACTCAAATTAACAATCGATAGGCATGGCTGTCTTTTTGTACCATAAAACTCGAAATCTTAAACTGTCTGCACTCTAATATCTTCAAGAAAAGAAAGGGAATAAATTAAACACGTGATTGAAGGAGGGGGCTTCCATCGACTCATAAGCCTCTACTCGTCTGACTTCACTCTTGGAGATGTTTATCTCATTTATTTTCAACATGTGGCAAGGGCCTTGAGTTTCCTCGCCAAACCTGGAAGATGAGGTGCTTGCTTGGGTTGAGGATGGGGCTCTGTTAGGATGCATGCTTTGGGACTCCATGGCCTGAAGTTTGAACATACCATGTGCTCATAAGCTTACATTGCTTAGGAGAACCCATTTGCACCTCACTCCATTGATTACTTTTTGAGAAAAGTGAACATCTTGCAGTGAATTTGAAATCCCTTCCTTTATGAATTAAACAAAAGTACCTGTTTGAATGAAGCATCGAAAACTCTCCTTTTAAGCCTCAAATTTAAATATGGAAACTTCACCATTTTGGAATAATAATAAGTAAAATGGGGACCAATTCCTATAATTTGTTTTCAATTTTTTATTTGAAAAATAGCATAACTAAAGCTCTGATGAGTACCTTGTCATTCGGAGGTTCTTCCTTTCTACTATTCAGATAAATGATATCAGTTCATCTCTTGGTTCACACTCATTTGCAGGAGTAAATCCATTTTGACATTTGATATGGTTGTGAAGTATGTTGAAAATTTTATGGTATTTATCGTTTATAAATATAGCTTTCTTATTCATTGATCACAACCTAGAAGTACTTTTGAATTTCATTTCCAAATTCAGAAGTGCTTTTGTGTTGTTGGAAAGTACTTTTAGCCCTTCCCGAAGTAATCCCAGACAGGTCCAGATTTTGTTAACACTTGCTTCTTATACTTTGGATTTATGAGATGCCTGCATGGACTGAAATGTAACTTTTGATGTATTTAAATTTCTTGATGAAAATGAGTTCATCACAGGTGAAAAATTCAGCTACTACATTCATATATTTTGTCTAATTTCAATCGATTAAGGCCAGTCCATTGAGTCTGGCGTTTGATTTTTTCAGCATGTTGATTTATTTGAAACCAATTAAATTTCAGGCCTTCTATGTGTAAGGATGGATATAGGTTCATTGTTTTGCACTCATATACCTTAGGATGAATTGTGCATGTAAGTGATTTGATGTCTTTTTTTCCTGTTGTTTCCAGGACGGACACAATTGAATTTATGCAAAGTCAAGTTAACCGACAGTTTTGGGATTCAAATTGGAGGTTTTTTGACTGTCGGTCGTGTTTATGCTTGCAGGGGATTTGAGTATGTGGTACAAATACTGTTTTTGATTGATAAGGATATCACCTGATCTTACTCAGACTTAATACAAATTTGTTACCTCTTGTTTTGTAATGCTGTCACTCTGTCAAACTTAGTTTGTGGAAGGAAAGAAATAATTGCAATTGCGGCCGACGTTTGGTGTCTTTGACGACTAAGCAAAAGGAAACCCGTCAGAAGTATGTTTGATGCGCACCGTTGTTTACTGATAATGTTTCTAGGGTATGCTAATAATAGTAGTTGTGCTTGGCAATGCTGAACAGTCGTGTAGTATTCTGCTTTGATCTTATTGGTATTAGTTTCTCTATCACTATATACGTGCAGAGATGTTTGCTCAACTTACGTAATCGTTCTTGCTAGGGCGAGGACGTTTTCTATGGAAATGATTCAGGCATGGAACGATCCGGGTTCTTGTTAACTTGTTGACTGCAGTTGAGTTTGGGCAAAAATCTTAAAATTAAAGAAAGGTATAAGTCTATTTTTCCTGTTCTTTTTACTTTACAAGCAAGCTATCATGCTGCCAATTTCTCATCATCGTGAAAGCTTTCTCTGCATCTTCATCTTCTTCAAAGGTTTGAGGCCGGTGCGCGAAGCAATGGCCTCTTCCCTTGAAACTCACCACCCTCGATCCCCTGCCGATACTTTTCTCAACATCCTACCATGCTCACACGACAGAGCGAGTCGTTGTCCCCTGTAATAAACAGCACCCTTGCCGTCAACTGAAAGTTCAACTCCAATGCCTAGCTCACATGTTTCGACGTCATTTACGTTGTCTTTCACGTTTAGTAGGCTAAAGCAACTCTTGTGCCTGTACTCGCTGCAGCTGACCTCCGACGACCTGCATTGCCTCTGAACCTAAACTGAGGTAGAACAACACACACAGCGGCGCAGCAAATATTAAGCTTGTTTAGCCAAGATCAAATATTGTGTTTGATCTTTGTTTCTTCAAACCAACGTACGACGCAAAATTATTTTCCCCACTTTTAGGGAGGGACCTACCCTTAAGTTGTAAAGATTTCATAGTCGGCTCATCGACCACAACTAATAACATTGATGTTGTCACGATTTCAGAGTTGGGTCATCAACAAATATTGATTATTATCACAAACGTCCCTGGCGATATTAGAAGTAAAACTTTTCAAAATAAGTCATTTAAATTTACAATTGTTCGATTTGAGATTCTTGTATTCTTCAACACGTTCCTTTACGTGAGACCCACCACAACTCTTCACGTGTAATGAGCCAAACAATTTCATTTAACTTTTCCATGGTTGCACGTCAAGGTTATTTTGAGTTGAATAATTATGTTACTTGATACTGTAGTCCAATAATTTTTTTAGTTTGTTTCCGAACTCCCATATTCTTCACGCTGACACTGCAGTTCAATAATTTTGAATTTTATCCAAAAATCATCCCGAATTCGCGATGAAACATTAGTTGAATTGGAAAACATTGAGAACGAGAAATGTAATTGTGATCAAACAAAATAAACCAAGATATAGTGTTTCAATATACATTATACACGCAAAATCTGCCATAATTCAGAGGATGATGAGTTAACAGGTGTGGGAATAATATTTTGCAATGAAGGAGTGATCCTCGAATGGATTCGTCCCACAACTTACTGCATCTCCACTGACTGTATAGCGAGCTTGGCTGCAACCATGGAGATATTATCTTTAACAAATTCCAGGGAATTATCTAGCCTCTGGACGGTGTCCTTGAGCTCCATTGCCCTTAACTTCTCTAGCTGTAGCTTCGCAAGTTCCGATTCACCTGATCCTGATACACATTACATATAAACAACAAGATGCATGAGGGGGAGATCTCAGGCATTGTCACCATTTTCCAGTTTACAAGGAAAGCCACATGACACTGTCCTATGTCCGCTAAGACCAATGTCCACTATGTTGTTCGATTGTCTGCTTCGGCCAAAGTAAGTTTGCATCACTAGAGCAGGATGCCAACACAACTACTGATTCCATTAGAAAATTTGTTACCTGATACCGGTTGAAGTGCTGCAAAGGATACACGCTCGGGCAAGGAAGGAATGAAAGCTTCATCACAATCTAAGACTAGTTCCTTTTCACTCCACATTAGAGAATTGGCAATTCGAGTCTGCAACGGTGCCTCCTTGGGGGCCTAGTAGAACAGATAAATGAGCAGACAAGAGTCAACGAATGCATATGAGTGTAGAATGTACATACATTCCTCATCTAATAAAGAGTCGTGTTAAGGACCACATAAAAAACCATACACATTAGTTAAACTCTTCTTATTTGTCTCTCTCCTTTCCTTGTTAAACTCTTCTCTCTCTCTCTGAGAATATGAGAATAAGTGGGGAGACTGTTGGAAGTGGGAATAGTCTGTGAGAGGAGAGAGAGAGAGAGAGAGAGAAGAGAGAGAGAGAGAGAGAGAGAAGCACACCTTCAGCTTGATTTCCAAGCTATTTAAACTATATAGAGCTTCCTTTACTTGCATAACTTTTGGGTCTAATGCGCTCTCGCCTTCAGGAACCCTGTCGTGCTCAGGTATGACAACACCTTTCAAGTAAGGATCTGCCTGCGTGTACAAAAGTGCAAACCAACATCTAGAAAGCATAAGAGTCAAGCTATTTCGTAAGAGATTACAAATGACGGTACAAGTACAACAGAAAGAGCAGAAGAAAAAGAAGAATTAAAGAAAAAAATAAAAGACCTTGAGGGTTATATTTCCTCTTCCTTCCTGAACTCACTACACAATAAATTCTGATCATCATGCATAGTAACACTTTCTGTAAAAATTATACTTGGTTGCACTTGCAATTAAAAGTTTTTCGTCTCACTAAGTTTTTGACTAACTTCATGTGCGCAGAGTTTTATAAAGTTTTGATGTTGCATCAAAAGCTCCTAATATTCACCAGATCTCTTGTGACTCACCTGCACAAATTTCACAATTTTTACACGACCAATTCCTCTAATAGAGACTAGTGCTCCAACTTCTAAACGCTCAACCTGCAGAGTACTGGAATGATTTTAGTTCATAAGGTCCTTCAAATATTTGGAAATTGCATTGAAGTTCAGAAGCTTACATTTTCTATGAAAACCAAGCAACCATTTCTGGCCGCAAAGGATGCTTCTCCTGATGAATTGTCAATGATGATAGGATCCAACACAAAATGCACAAAAAGCTTCTTCCTTGTCAACGACTGCGACAAATAGAATAAACTGTAAGTAGGATGAATACAAACAGTTTTTCTGACATCCCAAACCACACCATAGGATCTCCCTAACCTACGCGTACGAGGAGGGACTGTTTTCTCCCGGCTCACCTTTCAGATTCATGTTATACTAAATACAAAAGTAGCATCAATGAGTGATTGGGTGTACAACAATTTGTGATTCTCACCATAAAATGACCGGCGGTTGTGCAAACGCATGGCTACATATACTGACAAACATATGGGAATTACAACTACACAAAATAACAGAATTTATATATGTTAATAATTCTAAAGCAGACGCCAAATAATGGTGAACAAGACCGAAGTCCCTCCTGTTTGTCTTGAAGGGGTGTCAGTTGTTAAACCAAGGCCATTCCTTGAGCATAAAGAGATTTGGGTTTCAACCACATTGCTTGATTTAAACATCAAAAAGCATTCAAGGTGAACCAAGGGGCTTCCATATGTAACATGTGATGAGCACCTCCAGCTGCCATGAAAAACCTATACACTAACTGAACCATCGAATTTCACCATTAGCACCAAAGGACTCGGACATTTCTTAACGCATACAAGAAATCCCCCGGTTTTAAAAATTTTTGAATTCGGGTGTCTCTTTCTATGCTTTTCAAAAGCATTCAAACGAACAATTTATAAAATTCATATGGACTTATATTTCTGTGTTCCATAATCTCATCCGAAGAGCAGCCATGTCGTTCTTTCCAGGTGCTGCATATTATTACTATCAATGTTATATAACTTTACAGAAAACTACTTGATTATAGATAAGCACAATAGCTACGATGTTAATGTGCCATTGGACATGTATTTGTCTGCGGAAAGGCGGCAGACCATCTTCATTTTACATCATATCTTCACAACACTTACGACTATCTCACTCAGTGCTTCTACCTATCAATAGCAGCTTTGCGAAAGTAACCAAACAGACTTTCAGTAGCTTGCCGAGTGTAACTTCACAAATTCCCTAGCAATACCAATTTGACTTAAATCTCCATGAATTTTTCCGACCTCATATAATTCAGAGACAAGAAGGCCTGATTCAGTATGCTGTGGCTTACTAAAGGCTGCTCGTAAAAGCAAAGCACCTAAAACAGAAGAACAACAGCAGCAAAAGCATCTTCTTAAAAACTTATCGCACGGTTGGTTCTTGTTTCAATATACTTTCGTGGTTGAATGTTACTCTTTCGTTTATTCTAACAAAATTTCTTCCACCTTACTTGCTTAACACTCATAACACATGCGGTCATCAAATCGGAGAAAATGTAGCAATGAAAGTGTATATTACCTCCTCCAGTAGAGCTAGATACCTTGCTTCATATAAGTGCAATGCCTTACTCTCAGAGGGAACTAGAACCTGAAATTTCGAAAACCAGTTTTTCGAAAATTAGAAATAATTGTTCTTACTGTAAGAAATAAACACAAACAAAAGAATTAATCATTCCAAGCAATCCAAATATTAACTAAATTAAATCACACAAATATAATCATGTTCAAAAACAACAGCAGACATAATCGTAGCCAAGTTGGCTAGAGCATAGTGCTCCCTTCCGCCGCGAACTTGGGACTATAAAAATAGAAAGACTGAGTTTAAAGAAAGAGAAATTGAAGTGAACACCTCGTTCAAGGGAAAGGGAAGGAGCGGGAGCTCCAATTCAACCAAGGAGGTGGCGTTTGGAGGAGCCAAGTGGCGGCATCGTTTGAGTTTCTTCCTGGTAAAACTGAAACCAACGGAACTATAGACATTCCGGTGCGGGTTTCGGATTCGTGTCGCTGGTATAAACTGAGCGTGCTTGTCCAGGACAAACGGAGTGGTGGGATTGAATTTGAAGGCCGTACAATTCATTTTCTGCTGCTTCGAATTGGCTTTTTCGTTTTCCTTCCAAGTTCCCAACTAACAACGGTCTGACGGGTTATCTACTACTATTAAACTAATTCTAACCGCACGATGATAGGCCTCTCTCCATTTCAGTATTTAAAATATCGATATCCGTAGAAATATCGATATGCTAATTTGTAGAAATATAGATATTAATATCAATTGTTTTCGATATAAATGATGGAAATTTAAAACAAAACTTTAGAGATTGTCAAGCATTGGTTTGGAAGAAAAATATACAAAAGTTTCTCCGATATTTAACAGGATGTCAGAAATATCGACGACATCTATCGATTTTAGCCTAAACTTAAGAGTTTCTCCGATATAAGTTGAAGTTTAAAGTTCACCACCCATTTTCCATACATTCTCTAATTTTTTTTTGGATATTTTCATGGAAAATCAACCGTATCGAATAAGTTATAAACTATGTTCTTGTCACACTTCCAAGTTCGAATTCTAAACACACGCGTGGCTACAATCTAGTACAATTCAAGGGTCAATGAAATTCCAAGGGTAAATTATAGTTTTTGCAGTATCAAATTTGTGTCAAATCGCAACTTCATACAATATCTTATTGCAATGTCATGTAAAAAAATTTAGGATTTCAATCATTATAATGTTGTAGTCCATCAAAGTTACAATCTTTTGTTTGTATCCTTGTTATCTGCTTACGTGGCATCGCGGGCCCTTTCTATCACCTATTTGGACTACTCAAAAATAAAAAAATTAAGGGTTTTTATCACAAATGGTTCCTAAAATTGACCCTGACCATCAAAATAGTCCCATAAATTGAAAAATAATCAATATAGTCCTTGAAAATAGGTATTACAAATCAATATGGTCATTCCATCACAATTCTGTTAAAAATTCCATTAAGTGCTGATGTGGCACATAAATGGGCCCCACAAGATTTACAGGTTTTTATCACAAATGGTCTATGAAATTGACTCATGCCTTCAAGATGGTCCCTGAATTTGACCCACACTATCAAGATAGTCCTTGAAATTGACCCACACCATTAAGATGGTCCTTAAAATTGAAAATCGATTAATGTAGTCCTTGAAAATAGGTATTGTAAATCAATATGATCATTCCACCACAATTCTGTAAAAAAATTTGTTATATGCTGATGTGGGTTTAATAATTAGTTAAGAAAGTTGTCTAAATACATTTTTGCACAATAGAATTTGTTTTTCTTATAGTATAGGACCTACTCCTAAGAGAGATCTCTTCCATAAATTCTCAAAGGCACAATGTTTAACTAAGGCCTAAGAGAGGGTTTAGAAATAGTTTTCAACCAACAATAGACGCACCTCAGTTATAACCTTATTATCTCAAGGCATACCTTGTCATTCTTTGAGTCACCAGACCACAAGGGAAGCGTCAAACAAGCTCTCCAAGATTAAGGTTGTGAGGATGTTGACCGCTTAAATGTTAGCAGTGATGTCCCAGAAATCGTTGTCAATAAGTCAAGTCGTCACCAAAGGTGACCTCGATTTAGGTTTAATTCGGTGAAGGGTGTCGAAGTGTGTAAAGATGGGTGTATTGAGAATTTTTTTTTTTTTTTTTTTTAAGAGAATAAATAACGAATGAGGTAGAGGAATGTGGACTGGTATCAGAGGTGACTGTAGGACTAGGTTTTTGGGTTCACAACTTTTTATTAACTATTAAATTATTAAACCTAGTTGTAATTTTTAAAATTTAATTAGACTTGTGTTATCCATTTATGTATCACATCAGCACATAACAGAATTTTTGACAGAATTGTGACAGAATGACTACATTAATTTGGGACACTTACTTGCAGGACTACATTGATCATTTTTAATTCCAGGGACCACTTTGATGTCACAAGTCAATTTTATAGATCATTTTGATGTCGCATGTCAATTTTAAGGACCATTTGTGAGGGAAAAAAAACTCATGGGACCCATTTATGTGCCACATCAGCACTTAACAGAAATTTTAACATAATTGTGACGAAATGATCACATTGATTTGTGACATCTATTTTCAAGGATTACATTGATTGATTTTCAATTTCAAAGACCATCTTGATGGTGAGGGTCAATTTTCAAGGATCATTTGTGATAAAAAGCCAAAAATTAATATGTTGGATGAGAAATTTAAGATTAGTAAAGAATTCTAATTTTTTATTTTTTTTCTTGTTTGGTTAACCTAAAAGAACAATAAAATTTAAATATTTAATATGTATCGTTAATATAATATATATATATATATATATATATAAAAGATAGTAGTTAGAAAATGTGACAGAAGTGGTGGTAGTGATGATAGTGTGTAGTGGTAGTAGGTTGTGATATTGGCAGTGGTAGTGGCAGGGGTCACAATCGTATATAGTGGTGCCGGCAACCATAATGGTGATGATAATTGTGAATGGTGGTGGCAGGTGGTAAGTGTTGGCGACATATGGTTATGAAAATAGCATTTATTTATATAAAATTTAAACTTATGGATCGGAGATTTCAAATTCTAAACTTTCCTTTTCCACGCAAAGTTTTTAGATTACAAGGTTTATAAGTCCTCGCAAGCGACGGATGTCAATTTTTGTATTGTTTTTTCCTTCTAAATTTGAATTATTTTCTTCTTCCAAAAGTTAATTTCCAAAACAAAAAGCGATACGTGTTTATCCATTTGCGTGGCACGTCATGATTAATGGGGGACAGAGTACTGTAAGAGACGAACGGCGGGGTAAGCGAAGGAAAGATCGGAATGGACGGCCCTCCAGGCGGCGATCTGTGTTCGGTTTGCCATGGCAACTTCGACACTCCTTGTCAGGCCAATTGCTCTCACTGGTTTTGCGGTACCTTCCTTCCTCCCTCACTCTCATTCCTATTTCCTCGCTTACATTTTAGTCGGTCAACCAATGTTGTTATTGGTTTTGTGCAATATAAAAGAACCCTAAACCCAATTCGTCTTCAATTTCTCCATTCAACTGTATTTTATGCATTTTATTTTGTTTCAACTGCTTCTGTTTGTATTTTGCTCAAGCATGCTTTTTCATGTTTTGATTCGATTGATTGATCATTTAAGCATGCTTGTGTTGAAAGACTTGATTGATTACTCAGAAGATTTTAGTAGCGGCGGCTTTCGATATCATTTGCTCTTTAGAGCGAAGGGACTTATAATCCACATCCAAATTGGGTGTTTATTTCGACCAATTATATGACGTTTTCCCTTTGAAACAAGTCCAATTTAGCTTTAGCTATACTTAGCTATACTAACTTAAAAGTCTGGTGAAAACTAAGAAGGGGGCCGAAGATGGAGCTCTTCGAGAAATCGCTGTAGATATCCGATAATGGTCATTATCATTTGGTATCATAGAAACCGGTCATATTCATTATGGACTGTTAGTCTCTTGTTCTTATTGATATCAAGAGTCAAAACAGGATGTCATTGTACATGTAATTATACTCTGCAGAGTTCTGTAAATAGGAAGAACACGTTTGTGTAGGTTTCCTAGACTTGCATCTTAAAAATGTTGAAAAGGAAACGCGTATATGTAAAAAAAAATTCCCCTCTCCGCTACCAATGTCTGTTTCATTCCAAGTAGAATAGACTTGATATTCTTGGTCTGCATATCATCTAACATCAGATGTAGCCAGTTTTTCCAAGCACAATTCCAAGTCTGGTTATAAATCTTGCAGGATGCCATGGTGCCTATATATTTATGTATATAATGATCATTTGAACTTGATGATACAGATCCTTTACTCATTCATGATTCATATAGAGGCCCAATGCTGTTTTTGAGCTTGACTCTAGTTATAGACCATCTCCCGCTTAGGCTTTAACCTTATGTTTGGATGAGAGACTTTCGAGTATCAAGGAAATTTAAGCTCTATTGTTAAAATGCATCACAAGAACACTACCAATGAACTACTCAAGCACTGTTAAGCTACTACTAGAACACCTTTAAATGACACCTTCAAGGAGTTATTTGAAAGTTCTATCAAATGTATTGCATCTAGTGATTTTCAAGCCCTTTATCTATTTTTGTAGTGCATGCTTAACAAATTTATCATACGTTACATTGAACTTAAAAGTCCCCTTCTCCAAGCACACCGTAAGGACTTTTGATGTTTGACAAGTTTACTGCTTCTATTGTACGTAAAAGTGATCTATGCTTGGAATTGCTTTGTTTCAATAGATTATAGAGATTGTGGATATACGAAGTGGTTACAAAATCCCCAGCATGCATGTTGAAAATATTTGTCCATACTTTTTGGACGAATTATATACCTGAACTGAATGGCTGTGATGTTCTATTTAGCAGTACACTGCATATTGTGTCACCTCTGAGATTTTAGGGGCTCTGTGCGGAAGATAGTAAATGAGCCCTTGTATAAAACTCTTGCTACAAAGCTAATTTATATGTCTATGGTTGTATTAGTAAGGAATTTAAATGAAGTATTATTACTTGAATTATAGTTCAAATCAACAAAAAAATCATGGAAAAATATGAATAAAATCAAAATTTTGAGCAAAGCCGGCAGAACCAAACTAAAAACAGAAAAGTGATTTCTCTTATGCGTATGGGTGTCATATTTCTCTTATTCATGCAGAACCTAGAAATTTCCCAAAGATGAAGCTTTTTTTTGCCACAAACCAAGTTGGGACATATGTAGATGATATCATCTTTTAGGGGTCCTTTACAGATTGGGGGCCCTATGCAAGGGCACCTATCGCACATGCTCAAAACCAGCCACAGATAACGGATCAAGTATAACACTCTGAGTGTAAGTAGAATTAGCAGGACTCTTACAACATACGAACATACAAGTATCAGATTCCATTACATATAATTTACAAGGCTTGAACTCCCATTGAGTAATCATGAAAATAAAGGCTGATAATGCATCGTTGGCTCCCTTTCTTCAGGAAATTGTATTATGCTTGTTTGGCATCATGGATCGGCAGTTCGCCCTTGTAAATGCCCGCTGTGTCGTCGTCCCATCACTTTGTTGGTTCCAAGTAGGGCTTCTTCAAGGCAGCTTAATAGGCCGGAGGTTGCGGAGATTCTAAGGAAGGTTGAAAGGTACAATCGTGTTTTTGGAGGTCATTCCAGAAGTCTTCTTCAGGTAAATGATATATGTATACATCAAATAACCTTGTGGGGCCCATTTCTTATTTATGTCAATAATCCGAACAATCTATTTATTAGTTCTTCATTCAAAGATCATCTTCTTAAAATATGATATGAGACAAATCTGACCGTTTAGCCATCTAATGTGAGTCAAGAAAATAGACAAACATGGTACATCAAGAAAACACTAAAAGTGACATTTAATTTAGTAGTCACAGTTTCAGATTTCAGTGATATTTTGCAAGGATGATCTTTGAGGGGAGACCTAATAATTAGACTTGAATTATTGAGGTTCAATGGGAAGTGGGAGCTGCAAGGGTGTCCCTCTTAATCGGAGCTCCCTCTATAATACACAGACATGTACACACGCGCACACACCCACTATTGTTGAATAATATGATTAGATATGTTTTTTGTTGAAAAATATATGCAGTTTCTGTACTCGTCCAACTGCATGAAAAGAATACACTTTCAAAAGAAATTAATTCTTTATTTTAAGACTCGTGGAGAAGTAAAGTGTTTATATCTTCTTTTCCTGTAAGGAACAGAATTTTTCCTCAGATGCCAGTTTGATTTCTTAACCCCTGAAAAAGTATCTTTATTCCTACGTTGAAGATCGTTTCGTAGTTGATATAGAATAGTAGAACATCACTCCTCCATTTCTAATCTGTTTCTATAAATGGCAATCCTCTTTTGAACAGAGAGCGCAGGACCTTCCTTTTCTCCTGCGGAGGCTGCTGCGAGAACTAATTGATCCTGATAGATCTCTTCCCCTTGTTATAAGGGCTCGTGTTTGGATTGCAGTTAAGTAATTGACACAATATGCGATCACTTCTCTTATATCTTGCACTCTCGTGTGGCTGTTAATGCAGTTTATGTGGTTGGCAGTAACGTTACGTGAGAACTCATCTTTAATCTGAAGTACATTGTGTACTGCATGTTCGTTACGAAGTTCTGACCGTTTTAAAAATTTTGTTTTCTTAAATATACAGATGATAATGGCTGCTGCGTACCTATTCAGTCCTTTTGACTTCATCCCGGAAGGTGTTTCTTATGCTTTCAACTTGGTTGTATTTTCTTGTGGAGCCGTTGTCGCACTATTATTAATACATCATCCTTGTTTTTGAGTGTTCATGCAGCAATATTTGGTATAGCCGGTCTCCTGGATGATTTCTTCGTAGTGCTCATTGTGTTCTTCCATGTTGCTGCCATTTATCGGTCAGTACTCTATCGCCGTCATGGAGGCTCCTGAACTGTGCGACCATGGAAATTTTTAATCACACAGAAAAAAACAGGGAAGGAGCTGGATTTTATATTTTTCCCGTTATATGGGGTCGAAAAATCGGAGATGATTCACGAAAGATAGGATTGTACAAGAAGGCCATCTATACATTTCAGCGTAGTTTCGGTTGATTTTTAAACTATTTCATGCTTAATTACCATGATTTTTGAACTACTTATGTTTATAACGGTTCATCGAGTGTCAATAGTACATCGACATCCACACGCTTTTTACGGTATGTAGGGTTTAGGGTTAGGGTTTAGGGTAAGCGTAGCTCGCCGTATTCCGTAGCTTTCTGTTGTATTACTATTTGATCACATTAGGTATGTAATGACGAGGTTTAGACACGGATTATCTGATAGAGATGGTTGTATGATGACTCCTTATAAATGATTCTTTCGTGGGACATGTGGAGCCAACTGACAGTGACATCTAGATTCCAAATTAGTGTCGGCACTCTGTCCTGATCGAATTAAGTCCAAACTTTATGCGAGTCGAAGCACTAAGCAGAGCTCATTTCCTTAAAATAATCACATATAGTTTTTAATTTTCATATTTTTGTACTTTGAGATGTGAAGAAGTATATGGTAGAAAGTAGAGATGAAGAGGAAACGGGCTTTTATCTGAGATTAGCATAATTCTTCACTTTGGTCATTGACAATGAAAATTGATAGTGGTTTTTTAGTTTGTTCACCATACATCATTTTGGTATTTTTGTGAAAAATCTGTAAATATCTTCGTTAAATTTGTACGATCACGTGACCATCTTTTAAGGTTTTTTATTATTTTTTAATTTTTTGGTCAAACATGTCACATCCCAGACCTGCTCCACCATAGCACAATATTGTCCGCTTTGGGCCACGCTCACACGGTTTTGTTTATGGGAACTCACACGAGAAATTCTTAGTGGGTCACCCATCTTGGGATTGCTCTCGCCCGAACTCGCTTAATTTTGGAGTTCCGATGGAATTCGAAGCTAGTGAGTTCCCAAAGGGCTTCGTGTTATATGGAGGTGAGCATGAACGTATAAGGCACATCACCCCATCTCCGTTGGTCGATGTGGGATGTTACAATCCACCCCCTTAGGGGTCCGACGTCCTCGTTGACGCACTCGCACCACACGACAGAGTGGCTCTGATACCATTCTGTCACATCCCAGACCGGCTCTACTGTAGCACGATATTGTCCACTTTGAGCCACGCCCTCATGGTTTTGTTTCTGAGAACCCACACGAGAAATTCCTAGTAGGTCACCTATCTTGGGATTGCTCGTGCCCAAATTCACTTAACTTTGGAGTTCCAATGGAATCTGAAGCCAGTGAATTTCCCAAATGTCTCCTGCTATATGAAGGTGGATATGTATATATAAGGCAAATCATCCCCTCTCCGTTGGTCGATGTGAGATGTTACAAAACCAACTCCTCTACTTAACAAGGATGTTGACAAATTTTCATAGAAAGACAAAAATGATTTATGTTGGACAAACTCAAGGACACTGGTAGAGGCACATGAGGACTAGAGTAGTCCTAGGCCTATCCTAACTTGAAAAAAAAAGGTTAGTATTATACCTATATCTATTGCTTTGCAACCCTTCTTAACACTTCACACAAAAATCCAATCATTTATATATCTTTTCATCCAAATCTCATCCCAAAATTAAGTATAATATTTCAAATGGTCATTATCACAAACCAATGACATTAAATTAAAACCCATTATTCACTTTTAATTAAAAAAATCATCTTTCACTCATGCACTAGCATAGCTATTTCTCCTATTCTTCTTGGATTTCATATATTTAGCCATTCCAAATCCCAAATGTATTGAATAAAGAACAATAAGGTTTGTGACACTCTATTATTCTCTATAAAATATTTGTTTCTATTCTATCCTACCTCTTCCTTGAGTTTTAGGGTTTGCAAAATTTTTAGTAATTTTCTCTATTGAGTTTAATAATACTTCAAGTAGTATAGATGACATCATGCAATGGTTTCAAAATATGAAATTCGTCAAGAATAATTATAATTACCATAAATAGATAAAATTATCTATGCATATGTTAATTTTGACTACTTAATTATTTGGATATATGTTATGATGTTTAGCATTAGTAAGTTTATAATCACTATTGGTTTAGTTTTCTTCTATACTTGTGTGAGGTGCCTCCTCATTAGAAATTCTGGCTCCGTCATAGTCAATTTTATCGATTTTCATTGTCAATGATTAAAGTGATACGTTATGACAATCTTAAGAACAATTTTGACTAAAAAGTCAGAAGAAATGCTCGAACAAGGGTACACAAAGAACACTAAAGAGTAAAAACTAAAACAAAAAATATATATATTCGAGTTTGCTTTCACTTTCAATTTTTTTTTATTTCTTTCCCACTCATCCACCAGCGTTTCTTCATCTTCCTTTATCCTTTACATTTTCCACATATATAAAAAACAAACAGTCTAAAAACAAAAAACAAAATAGTTACGAAACAAGCGCTAGTGGTTCGAATGCTATTATGTGCTTAGGTTTTTATATTAGGAAAACTAATGAAAAGTGTTTGAAAACTTTGAGTTTTAATGATAAAGACAAAATAAAGGGTAAAATAAATAGTACCAAGTTTGACTTTTTAGTGTAAAAATATGATTTTTCGTTAAAGTGAATAGTACTATAAGCTTTTCGTTAAAACTCTCTTTTATATTTTCTTCCGTAATACTTTTCTCTTAAAAAAGTTTAGTTGGTGTAATTGACTCATATCTTAGTTGTCTCAAATTCATAATTGTATTATCTACTTTTGTTTTTTTTATAATGATTCGAGTACGCCTACTTTTCACTTTCGTTTTTTCAATTGAGTAAATTAAAGGATATTTTTTTGTGTAGTTGAAAAATTAAAGGATACTCAAGAGAGTGGTTTAAACTGTATTTTTGGACACCGTTTTACTTTTTTTTTATTTTAAAGGTAATACGAAATTGCCCTAAGGCAAGACTTTGACTTTTGACCATCGACTGAAAGTGAGAACTTATCTTTTAGCTATCCGTATACTTTGGTACTAGTATAGCGAAAGCGTTTGCAGTCCGGATTATAACGGTATGTTACGGACGTTCGAAATTGGTTATTCAAGGTGAGTGTTTATTTAAATTAAATGGAAGCCCAATCAGAAAAAAAAGAAGAAGAAAAAAAAAAAAAAGGGGAAAAGGGCTTCCCGTGCACCCATACCCGCACCACCGCGAGGCCATATTCCAAGGCCGATTCCGGCCAACTCCGGTGGAGTTTTTCGATGCCACCACCACCATTTTGAAGCTCTCATTCCCCTCTACAAAACCCACCCAAGAACCACCTTGATTGACCACGGGATGTGGAGGTTTGAGGCCACGAAAGTTGACGAAAATCAATGGTACTCCGGCCACCCTTCTCCATTTTCCGGCAAATCGGCAAAGCGATGGCCGATGCCACCACTTGGGCTTTGTAGCCCATCATCCCAGGAGCAAAACCCAACCAACCTTGACCCCGTTGGACCACCGTAGACGACGAATCGACGTCGGGAAGTTTTAGGCACCCGCCGGCTTCGTGGGCAAAATTGACCATCTTCCGTCCACTTTTGGACTTCGTGGCAGGTATGAAAGTTGCTCCACTCACTGAGATCTTCATTTCTGTGAAGTTTGATAATTTTTGGAATTAGTTGGATTTTCCGGCGAGTCGGGGCGGCCGACCGCCACCCGCGGCGGCGCGTGCGGCGGCGCGTGGCCGGTGAGCCGCCAATGCTATTTTTAGGCTATGTCGAATGTTTTGAATTCAGTTTTGTCATTTGAATGACGTAGGTTGATCGTTGGAACCTAAATTCGTTATAATACGCTACTTGATAAAAATGTGAATCGATGATCCGACCGTTGGATCGTCACCAAAATTGGATACATTATATTACGTAATATTTAAAGATCATAGGAATTTACGGATCGGGAATCCGACTTACGGATCTTCCTGAATTGGATTTGTAAGTTAGTAAAATAAATGTTCACGGCCACTTGTTTTAGGCAATTGGCGAAGATCTGACCGTTGGATCGTAATGAAATTTTAAGATGTTATTCTAGAAACATATTGTGGATCATTGGAAGTTGCAGATTGGAAATCTGATATGCGGATCTTCCGGGTCAGGTTATACAGGGTTGTAAACCCTACCGTCGATCTTTGATCGACGGTTGACTTGTGGTCAATAGGTCTCAACCTATTTTAGAATGTCGTGGAGGTTGTGTTTTATGTGAATTGCATATTCTTCAGATAAGAGTTCTGAGATGTGATTTGATAATTGGCCACAGGGACCGATCATTCAGGACGCCTCGATGCGCGTGCTAGAGTAGTATAGCGTGGACTCCAGGTGAGTGGATCTTTTCCTTTTTATTGTGCATATTATTGAGAGTTCTATCGACACCTTTAAATTGATTAGACATATTACTTTCATATATAATTATTGTGAATGCTTGAAGTACAATGTGAACTACGAATGGCTTGATCCCTGTTTAGGGTACGTAGGCAGTCTAACGAGACGTTAGATGCAGCCATAAAATATTTGAGACAAAAGCCTTGCTTGGGAAATTGAGTAATGCGAAGGAAATTGGTAAAGACAAGTTTTAGTTTTGTGAATTAGTTAGTTAAATTAGAGTTAATTGGATTGTTATGGATAATTATCCCTGAAAATAAGTAGTTTGGGAGTATGGCGTTATTGATTGTACACTTCACACCATATTGTTTATAATTGAAAATGCTACGACATGGTTGAGTAGTAGATTGCATCATGATATATCCATATGTATATTACTTGCTTATAATTATTGGGAATGCTTTCAAGTGCAAAGGTGAACTCAAGACACCCAGGTAAGTTCAGGTGAGTTTATGGTATTAATTGAATCGATTGAGTTATAGCATGACTACAGTTATGAGTTAGGCAACTTCGATACTGTCGTACTGGTTGCCATGTGTTGCACAAGATTGATGAGATGTGGATAAGTCGTATAGGTCACTATAGGTGACTCCGACTTATATACTAGCCATGATTGACGAGATGTGGATAAGTCGTATAGGTCACTATAGGTGACTCCGACTTATGGATAAGTCGTACAGGTCACTATAGGTGACTCCGACTTACATGCTAGCCATGATTGATGAGATGTGGATAAGTCGTATAGGTCACTATAGGTGACTCCGACTTATATACTAGCCATGATTGATGAGATGTGGATAAGTCGTATAGGTCACTATAGGTGACTCCGACTTATATACTAGCCATGATTGACGAGATGTGGATAAGTCGTATAGGTCACTATAGGTGACTCCGACTTATGGATAAGTCGTACAGGTCACTATAGGTGACTCCGACTTACATGCTAGCCATGATTGATGAGATGTGGATAAGTCGTACAGGTCACTATAGGTGACTCCGACTTACATGCTAGCCAAGATTGACGAGATGTGGATTGATGAGATGTGGATAAGTCGTACAGGTCACTATAGGTGACTCCGACTTACATGCTAGCCAAGATTGACGAGATGTGGATAAGTCGTACAGGTCACTATAGGTGACTCCGATTGATAAATCATTTTGTATTGATTTAGTTCATTTGGCCTACTTATTGATGTATGGTGGAGTTGATGGCAAACCGTGGTTTTGGTCATTTCCGAGTATGGTTTGGATATATGTATATATGTTGTACTGTCTTATGGGAAACGATACGGGTTTTACATTTAGGGGCATTACTTTTTGAGAGGTAGTAACCTTGGGAAGCTTGGTTTTATTGCTTACTCACACCTTCTGTTTGGTGCCCTCCAGGTTTTAACTGCTGAGTTTGTATCGACAAGAATCTGTGACGAATCTTTGTATTGATGGATATTTTTGAGGGTATGATTCTTACCCATACTACTGTACCTCACTTATGCTCTGACATCGCGTGTGAAATGGGTTCGCTCCCACTCGTAGCGCACTCTGGTATTTAGACACTTTTAGATTCAAATTTATTCACTTTTTATGCACTATCACATTTTATGGCTTCGTCACCTTCCAGGTGTCGGCCAGCACAGCTCAATTCAGGGTCCAAGTGGACTTTCTGGGTCGGGGTGTGTCAATTTTCCTTTGGTTTTTTTTTATTATTTTTAACCTTAATTTGATCATGGTAGGTAGGCTTGTTAACTTCCACTTTGTTTTTGCGTAGAATTAATAAGTTCGTCTTATTTTAGCTTAGCTTGAAAGGGATAAACTCGTCCTTAAATACCAACCATACGGCATTTGTTGTTTCCACTAATTTTCTTTTGTATAACACATCACATGGAAATAGTAGTCGTCAATCTCATAAGACAGTTGTTTCGGATAATATTTCAATCTCATAAGATAGTTGTTGACGGTAAAGATATATATACATTACGTACATTGTTATCATGATATTTATAATCTCTTTTTTATAAAGTTTTATGTTAGTGACTTAAGATATTACATACTCAATCATTGTACACGTTACATTAAGGACATATCCACTTTGGAGCAAGGCAGGTCAACTAAACCCTCCAAGCTTAGAAATTCTTCAAGAGCTGGGTGCTGACCTCAGAAAATCTGAGATGTCTTTGAAAATTTTCCTACAGATGTTCGACGAATTGCCTTTATAGGCATAAGTAGGGTATCTACTCGCCTCATACCTTTGTATAAGTTGATATGGACATCTTTTGATACACTCACTTGACATATGTTAACATCTGTCTACATGCTCGCTCATAAGCTATTGATATCAGTCGATATGCTTGCTCGAAAATTATTAATAAACGTGCAATATGACTTGATAAATAACTTCAAACACTACCAAACCAAAACTCGAGAAAATGACAATTTACATGATATAAGTGTCCAAAAATTTAGGCGTTGTTCACACTATTGTCATTGACTCTTCGATCATACTTCCTGATCCCACAGCGTTAAGGAAAGTTTCTCTTTTCCCCACCGGTATCTCACACAACGAGACGTAAAATGAATAAAGGGAAACTGAATTTGGGATCATCATCATCCACTCAAAAATCAATAATATCATATTACAATAATTACTTTTCGTGGTTTTCGAGGAGGCCACTAATTTCCAAAAATTGCTCATAAAGCATTTTTGTCTCTGCTCTCTCTCCATCCCTGTCTCCCTCCCCCACTCGTCACTCACATAGATTACCCATCATCTCTAATAATTCGACGACGTACGGCCGGAACTATTTACTCTCTCTCTCTCTCTCTCTCTCTCTCTCTCTTCCTTTTCTCTTCTGCTTCCTCCACCGACCGCTGTCTGTCTAGGTAGCTGAAAGATTACTGTGTGGTGAGTGGTGAAGTTAGTAAGCAAGAAACATGTGGGTAGGAAGGAAGTGTCAGATATTATTTATCCAGTCTCCATCCATGGATCATCACCATATGAATGCTCAACACTTGTTCAATATCTACACATAAACTACATATACATACATATATATATATATATATGTATCCCATCAGCCAAACATACACAAAGTAAAGTTATACAGCATGCTCTCTTCTGTTAGTTTCTCTTCTGTATAATTTGGCCACCAAATTTATCCAGTTGGTTGATCCAATTCCCAGCTGCTGTTAATCGGTTCTTCATCAGATGAGATGAGGCATTGGTTGCCCACACTTGATGATGCTGCTTCCTCCTCTCCACATGATCTACCTCTCACTTGGAACTGATCACCATCAGGTACTCTACTCTCATCTCATCTGTCACCTCTATTTGCTCTAAATATTATTTTCGATTCTCTTGTATTAATTCTTTTTTTTTCTCAAATTTTTCTTTCAATTTATGAATGCTTCTGCTTGATTAATGATTGGATTACTATCTAAAAACTACTTTTTGTCTTGGTCAACAATAAAACGCTGATTTGATTATTGAAAAAGAACCCAAAATTAATCTAATCTCTTTCCTTTTTCACGACCGTATATACTGGCAAGGAAATTTGGGAAATCCAAAATGAAACTATTTTTTCTGGCTCAAAATATGAATATTTATGTGTGTTTAACCATTCTTACGAGTGTGGATTTAATTAATTAGTTGGTAATTGCAAAATTTAAGTTTTTGCTTTCTTTAATTTTTATTAATTAGTTAAAGTCCTAATTAAGAAATTTGAGGAAATTTTTGGTCCAATTGAAGCTGGACTAAAAATATGTGAGTACTGATTTTTGGACTTGTCACGATGAGAATCAATGACTCTTTTGCATAAGACGGTTGGAACTTCCATTCAAAATAAAGGGTATTTGGCGGAAGTTCAAACTAAGTTATTCAAAATGACAATTGCTCCCTATTATGACAAGTTCAAGAACAAATACTGACTGATTTTAAGTTGAGAGATCATAGCTTAAATTCGATGGTATTTCATGCAATAAAGGAGATCCCTTCTTTACAAATTTTAATTCATTAATTAGTAGGCAGTATAATCATAACATAAACCTCAGATATGCAAAAGAATATAGGAGATCCCATCTTTACAATTTTTAATTGATTAATTAGTAGGCAGTATAATTATAACATAAACCGCAAATATGCAAAGGAAAAAACCATTACGGGTGGCCAGTGATTAGGGAGAATTTCAAACCCGTATTTTACACTGTCTTAAATTCGATACCTAGCACTTATGAACGATAGTTAGGAAGAAATTGAAATATTTCTATGATCCTTTCCAACTCTAGAAATGATGGATCACGGTAAGCCACCAGCTTATCTCTTTTTAAAAAAGAAAATATGCAAAAGAAATGATGGACTAATGAGTGACTTGCAAGGGTAATCAATTATCAAGTTGTCTTAATTTACAGTAACGATAACTCTCATATGCAAGCAAGAGAATCCACAGCTACAGACAAAATTGACGTTTTAACGTCACCTTAGTTGGTATTGACTACGGCTTAATAAATATTATTATACATTATAAATTAATAATTTTAATTTAAGAACTTGTTATTAGCATTTTAAAAATCACATTCTACACTCTTTTGTATTTTTCTTTTTAATTATAGATAATTTGGAGTGTCAAATAAGATTTTTATGAAGTGCTAATAACAATTCTCTTAATTTAATCATGTATTTTATAATAATAATAATAATAATTATTATTATTATTAAATTATAAATTATCAAGATAATGCAGTCAGAGACATTGACTTATGGGCTTTTTCTGCACAGCTGTTTCCTTCCGCTTCCTCAGAACTTGTTCAAGTTCAAATAATGGCATCGGCATGGGGTAGGGGTGGTGGTGGTGGTGGTGGTCGCTAAACTTAAAGCTCCGTTGTCCTTAATTGACCATTCTACCCCTACTAGTAGTACCTATTACTGAATTGCAATGGCACTGTACTTGCTGCTGCCAACCGTATTCCTCTTCGGTTTGCTTTTCCCGCCATGTTTGCCTCTAACGGTCGGAAGTCAAACGGAAACTGAAGCCCTCCTTGAGTTGAAGAGGCAGCTCGAGGACCCTCTGAATGTTCTCGATTCCTGGAAAGAGACCGCTGACCGGTCGCCCTGCAACTTCTTCGGAGTTGCTTGTGATGGGATTAGCGGAAAAGTGATTGGAATTTCTCTTGATAACAAGTCCCTTTCGGGGGAGATTTCGCCCGCCATTGGTGTTCTTAACAGCCTAGAGACGCTTTCACTGCCTTCCAACAACATTACAGGAAAGCTTCCTGCCCAAGTCACTCTTTGCGCAAATCTTAAAACTATAAATCTCACCGGCAACAAAATGGTCGGAGCAATCCCCGATCTTTCTGCCCTCGGAAAATTGGAGATTCTTGATCTTTCTACAAACTTCTTCTCTGGCGCATTCCCATCCTGGGTGGGGAATCTGACTGGGTTGGTTTCTCTCGTGCTTGGGGAAAATGAGTTTGATGAAGGTGAAATTCCTGAGGGGCTTGAAAACTTGACCAACGTAACTTGGCTCCATCTGGGGTTTACCCAGTTGAGAGGAGAGATTCCGGAATCTGTTTACGAAATGAAGGCATTGGAGACGTTGGATATGTCGAGAAACAAGCTCTCTGGGAAGCTCTCGGAGTCCATTTCCCATCTACAAAATCTCAATAAGATTGAACTTTTTCAAAACAATTTGACTGGAGAAATCCCACCAGGGCTTGCTAGTCTCACCCTCCTAAGGGAATTTGATATCTCATCAAACAAGTTTTATGGGAAGTTGCCTTCGGAGATGGGAAATCTCAAGAACTTGAAGGTTTTTCAGTTATTTGGGAACAATTTCTCCGGGGAATTCCCTGCTGGGTTCGGCGATATGAAACACCTTGGATCAGTCTCAATCTACGGAAACAGATTTTCTGGGGAATTTCCAACCAATTTTGGTAGATTCTCACCTTTGGAAAGCATTGACATATCGGAGAATCGGTTTTCAGGTGGTTTCCCAAGGTTTCTTTGTGAAAACGGCAGGTTAAATTTCTTGCTTGCTTTGAACAACAATTTTTCTGGGGAGTTTCCAGATTCTTATGTTCGTTGTAAATCTCTACAGCGGCTGAGAGTCAATCAGAACCGTTTGTCTGGGAAGATTCCAGCCGAGTTTTGGTCACTTCCCTACGCGACAATGATTGATTTTAGTGATAACAACTTCAGCGGAGAATTATCCCCCAGCATTGGGTTTTCTACCAGCTTGAATCAGTTGATATTGCAGAACAATGGTTTCTCAGGTTATCTTCCACCGCAACTTGGGGAACTATCGAACTTGGAGAAGCTCTATCTGAGCAGTAATAACTTTTCTGGTGAAATTCCTTCTGAAATGGGTGCTCTAAAGCAGCTGTCATCTTTGCATCTCGAATTGAATTCTTTGACAGGATCAATACCATCAGAATTGGGAAACTGTGTTAAGTTGGTGGACGTGAATCTTGCTTCGAATTCTCTAACTGGTAATATCCCTCGTACATTATCACTAATGAGCTCTTTGAACTCTCTAAATCTCTCGAAAAACCACCTCATGGGTTTGATTCCTGAAGCTTTGGCGAAACTGAAGCTAAGTTCTATAGATTTTTCTGGGAATCATTTATCTGGAAGAGTACCATCTGATCTTCTGACCATGGGAGGAGACAAAGCCTTTGCCGGAAACAAGGGACTCTGCATCGATCAATATTCCAGAACTCGCACAAATTCTGGGATGAACATGTGTACTGAAAAGCCGAATAAAAAAAGGGTGCTTGAAAGTAAACTGGTTTTGTTCTTTATTATAGCATCGGCGTTGGTTGTTGCTTTTGCTGGATTACTGCTTGTCAGTTATAAGAATTTCAAGCTTGGGAAGGCGGTTGACAGAGAAAATAAATTGGAAGCGGGGAAGGAGATAGATCCGAAATGGAAACTTGAATCTTTCCACCAGTTGGAAATAGATGCAGATGAGATATGCGATTTGGAAGAAGAAAATTTGATTGGAAGTGGCAGTACAGGGAAAGTTTACCGCATAGATTTGAAGAAGGTCGTGGCACGGTAGCTGTCAAACAACTTTGGAAAGAAGATGGCATGAAGCCTTTGATTGCAGAGATGGACATTTTGGGGAAGATTAGGCATAAAAATATACTGAAGCTATACGCTTGTTTAGTGAAGGGCGGATCTAGTGTTCTCGTGTTTGAGTACATGGCAAATGGTAATTTGTTTGAAGCGCTTCACAGAGAGATTAAATGCGGGAAGCCCGAATTGGATTGGTGCCAGAGGTATAAGATTGCTTTGGGAGCAGCTCGGGGGATTGCTTATCTGCACCATGATTGTTCACCAGCTATAATTCACAGAGATATTAAATCCACCAACATTCTGCTCGACGACGATTATGAGGCAAAAGTTGCTGATTTTGGGGTCGCAAAGATTGCAGAAAATTCTCAGAAGGGTTCTGATTACAGCTCATTCGCAGGCACACATGGCTATATTGCTCCCGGTGAGTTTCAAATCTACAAAAGCACATACTTTTATCCTTCCATCGTTGTTGGTCACATATGTTAGCGTTGGTTTCTTATTTCAACTATGCTTGTATCAATTGCTCTGCGACGTTTTCTACAACTCTAGAATTTTAATCTGCTCACCAGGTTTGATGTCGCTTTCATTTTTTATATTGGACCGTCTCATTCAATTCCGATTGTATCCAAAATTTCCATAACATGCATGTATTCAAACATTTTGAACTAATTTCCTGCAGAGCTGGCATATACTGCTAAAGTGAACGAAAAGTGCGATGTGTATAGCTTCGGTGTTGTGCTGCTAGAGCTAGTAACTGGTAGGAGACCAATTGAAGAGGATTACGGGGAAGGAAAAGATATTGTTTACTGGGTTTCAACGCATCTGAGTGACCGTGAAGCGGTTGTTAAGATTCTCGATGAAAAAGTGGCAGATGAAAGTGTCCAGGATGACATGATCAAGGTCCTAAAGGTTGCTGTTCTTTGTACTACGAAGCTACCATCGTTGCGCCCGACAATGCGGGAGGTGATAAAGATGCTTGCGGATGCTGATCCTTGCAGTTTCCGGTCCGGGAACAACACAGGTAACGACAAAAAAGTCAAGGATTTCTCACCCAGTACCGATGAGTTGCAGTTTTAGCAGTTGCTACGTAATTTCAAGGTTCAAAAGTTTGATGCAAGTGTGAATTTTTTCTTCGATAATGCTTGTAATGTGAGTAAGTAAAGAATTTAATATCATTTATATGATTACTAAATGTACCATAAAGTTTAAAAGTGTTGTTCCTTGCATCATGTGTGTTTGTCATTTTACCTAGCTGGACAATTATGGAAGTTGAGGTTCAATATAAAATGAATTGGTAATCAATGTTTTTAAAGACGAAGGCGAAACCAAGGTGTTTCATAGATAGCCCGCCTAGGCGAAAGTCTTGAGGCATGAAGCGAAGCCTCATAGGAGCTAAAATTATTAATATATATAGCAATACAACCGACATCAAATATATAGAGTCGAAATCAAAAATACAGAGTCAAAATTAATTGTAGAAGAATAATCAACAATCAAATAAAAAAATTTCTCCACTATGATAAACCCTAACCTTGAAAAGAAAACGCCCCAATTGATGCCTTAGGCGCACCTCGACCACCCTAAGCACGTTTAACCTACTCCTGCGGGGCAGAGGCGTTTTCCTCACCGCCCCACCTCGAAAACCGTCTAGGCGCATCGCAAGGCTCGTTTTTAAAACCATTGTTGGTAACATAGGAGGTAACTCAATTTTTTATAAGTATACACAAAGTTTTTCCTTTTTTCAATGTGAAATTCATACCCTCAACACGCATATAGAAAAAGAAAATAGGAGAAAAATAGATAGTACTCCCTTAATAGTTTTCTGTATTTTGTACTAGATATTTATAAATAAATATGAGAAAAAAAAAAGTCTTTCCTTCTTCTTCTACTAAACTAAGGTTAAGTTTACTTCCCTGTTTAGAACAAGATTAGCAAGACTTTTTACGAAAGAAAATTAAGAAATAATTGTCTATCGTTTGTTACGTTGGACTTAATCGAGTCTTTGACCCACACGCTCCCCTCCCTTTCTCCCCTTCTGTCTCTATACATGCATACAAAAATTAAGGTGTTCAAAGGGACTTGGTCTTTGGTCCTCAAAAACACTCTCAAAAGCGTGTAAGCGAGTCTTTGGTCCACTCTCTCCGACTCTTCCACCTTCTACACGTTTAAATTGAAACTGCCACCACAAACTTAATTTACCCCTTCTCTCTCATTCTTCTTCTTCTTCTTCTTCATCATCATCTCCCTGCCATGAAAGTTTCTGCACTATGGCTGCTCCTTATTCTTTAACACTTTTCATCATCACCTTCTCCTTGCTTACTTTCCTTCCTCTTTCACTCTCCTCCACCGTGTCGATTTCGGAATATTCTAACCAGCCTTCATCTGCGCACTCATACATCCCCAAAACCAGAAATCGTTTCTCAATTGTACTCGTTTCAAGTTTCCTACAGCTGCAACCGGAAGCAATGGCGGCGGCAGTCAAATTCGTCTCATCAAGAACGCTTCTTCTTCCTTCACTGCTATAGTTGCCGGAGATGGCTTCTTATGCGCCTTGAGGTCCCTGCCGTCTTCTTCCTCCAATACTAATTCGTCTTTGAGCTGCTGGAGGTTGTCTGGCAATCATAAGCGCATCTACCACGGCCCCCCTCTCAAGCAACTTGTTGCTGGAAATTCTCACGTTTGCGGCCTTATTGAGGATGGGTCTAGTACTAGTAGTCGCCTCCAGTGCTGGCAATGGCATTGGTTTAACAAAAGAATGATCAGTAGACACAACTACGGATTTTCAAGCATCGCGGTGGGAGAAAATTTTGTATGCGGAGTATCACAAATTGGAAAGGTTACTTGCTTAGGAAGCAATTATTTGGTGGTTGGGAAGGGGCCCAGCGCTATCAATGGCAAGAATGTTTACGGAGCTGTGAGTGCAGGTTTCCGTCATGCATGTGCCATCTCATCGGTTGATAGCAGTTTGGATTGCTGGGGAGATATGAAGGGTGAGAAACCTCAGGGGAGTTTCACGTCTCTGGCCTTGGGAGAAAACCGCAGCTGTGCTCTCAGGCGCAACGGAACAGTTGTTTGTTGGGGGGAAAACAACTTCAGCATGCCCGATATACTGAAAGATACATACTTCACAGCAATTGAAGCAAAACGCAGCGTCTTCTGCGGAGTTTCATCATCCAATTTTTCCTTGTATTGTTGGGGCAACCCAATTTTTAACGCCTCAAACAATTTCACGGTATTCGGAAGTGATGTGCAACCGGGGTCATGTACAAGGGAATGTCCGCACGGCAGCAATCCATTGCCAGGCTATGGTAGATTCTGTGAACACGGATATAAAGTCTGCCAACCTTGTCAGCCGAATGATGGAACGTCGCCGGGGCCGGGGCCATCGCCGCCGCCATCGCCGCCATCAGAACCAGGAAGTAGTAAGTGGAGCCGAAAAATGGTTGCTTTTCTTGTAGTCGGTTGTGTTGGGTCCTTAGCTTTTGTGGTGTCGGTATGTTTCTTTGTGTTCAAGTATTGCAAAACTGGAGTTGGAGGATCCCGTGTTCATGACTCAGGCCCCTTGGATGACCAGCCCCAGTTACAAGCCGAGGAAGGTGCAGCGGCAATGGCAGGGACACCGGTGTTAGAGAAGCGGCTAAGCCATTTGGTGAGCAATGGGGCTTCCTTGGAGGAATTTCCACTGCAACTACTACTCGAAGCCACCTCCAATTTCTCCGAAGAACACAAGGTCGGAACTGGCAGCTACGGCTCTGTCTACCACGCCACATTAGATGATGGTCGAAAAGTGGCCATCAAGCGTGCTGAGACGTCAATCTCTTCATCACACGGAGGCTACACAAAGCGCCAGCAGGACAAGGACTGTGCTTTTGTAAACGAGCTCGAGTCCCTTTCACGCCTCAACCACAAGAACTTGGTTCAATTACTTGGATTCTTCGAAGATGCAAAAGAGCGAATACTCGTGTATGAATACCTGGAAAATGGCTCCCTCCATGACCATCTCCACGAGCTCCCACACTCCCCTTTGCTCTCATGGGCCAAGCGCATCGAAGTGGCTCTTGATGCAGCCCGAGCGATCGAGTACCTACATGTGTATGCAATCCCACCAGTCATACACCGCGACATTAAGTCATCCAACATACTGTTGGATGACACATTGAGGGGCAAGGTAGCCGATTTTGGCCTATCTTTGATGGGGCCGGAGGATGAAGAAACTCACCTTTCGCTTGGCGCGGCTGGCACATTTGGGTACATGGACCCGGAGTACTATAGGCTTCGTCGTCTAACTTCCAAGAGTGATGTTTATAGCTTCGGAGTGGTGTTGCTTGAATTGTTGTCCGGTTACAACGCAATTCACAAAAATGAGAACGGGATGCCAAGAAATGTTGTTGATTTTGTCGTGCCGTACATTGCGAATGACGAGATACACCGGATTTTGGATCCAAGAGTGGCACCCCCAACGCCGTTTGAAATAGAGGCAGTGGCATATGTTGGGTACTTGGCAGCGGACTGTGTAAGACTACAAGGTAGTGACAGGCCAACCATGACTCACATTGTAAGTTGCTTGGAAAATGCGTCGGCTTATTTTTTGGCACACCCTTCTCACTCTCGTTCCAGTTCCACGACTGAATCCACGTGATGATGTAATGGTGCCATGACGGTGTCAAGTTTTGTAGAGCAAAAACCATTCACTTCCTTTTCATTTTCCAATTTTTTATGTGCATATATTGGACCTTTTTTTGTTTTCTTAATCTTCTTGGCATTTGCTGATTGGTCAAGACAGAAAGTGTATATAATTATATGTGTAAATTGCAACCACTGGATTTCAAGCCAGGACCTTTTCTTTTCTTCAACTTGGTCTTTGTTTCATTCAAATGGTTTAGCTTTGAATTTTTTTTCTCCTTCGAGAACAAGTCAAATTGGAGGAAAAGTCAACAAATAAAATACCAACAACAACAATGAAGCTTAATCTCATTAAGTGAAGTCTAGAACGCAACATCGCTTGATTTTACAGCACGTGTTCCATTAGCTCTTAAGTAAATGTATATCTAATATAAATTGATAAAAAAACACCTAATAGAATAACACTGAAAAGGAAGAAAAAGTATAATATCTAATATTTGGCCCACAAAAACAAGCAAAGCTATCATCCTCTTTCATCTTTATTACTTAAACAAAACAAAACCCTCAACCGTAAACCCTGGCCTTATTTGGTAGGTTGATTGGGATAGGTTGTGACTGATTAAAATAAATTTGAGTCCGGTCTATTGTTTGTTATGACCACAATATAGTGGTTTATATAACATATCATTATACATGAGTTACAAATCCTGTCTTACAAAGCTTAACCAATCTTTGTCAATCAAATCCTATTCCTAAAGCCCAATCTCATCTAGCTCGTCAAACGGACCAGAAATCTTTATTCTTCATTCTTTGAGTGATAATACTAGATTGTACATGAGACGGGTTTGGGACTGCAATTAATTCATGTGTACTAGAAGAAAAACATAATTGCGGATGACCTTGCTAATTGTGGCTATATTGCTATAATATGGATCTCAGGTATCACTGTCGTTTATTTGATGATACGACGAGCGTAGCTAAGACTCTTGTAATAATCCTGTGAGCTAGTTTTGGTGATGCACCGTAGCACCAAACTTCAATTCTCTAAAGTTTTCTAAAAACTCTTGATTTTAATACAGGACATCAAAGGTTCAAACGCAACACATAAATATAATTGACCCACTGTGTCGCTTAGCCAAATACCAGGATAGAAAAAGGAAATAAACAATATTTCTCCATATCGCTCCAATTTTGATTCAAACTATTATCCGAGTTGTGATTATAAAACAAATGTAATCGGAATTTAAGCTGACTCAAATGCCTTGAAAATAAATAACTGTGGTCTAACACAATATGAGTGTTAACTTATTTACTTCTTTTCTTTTTTTTGGGCTGACCTTTCCATAAGACATGTAGAAGTTGGGTCTCCGTTCGCAGGAGATTGCAAGCATAGCCTAACAACCAAATTGTGCAAAATTACCGACTTGAACTAAACTTGTAAGAATAGGAACACTTCACCTTCTATGCCGCTAGAGATTCTGAAGTCGACTTTCTTTTCTCAACAAGTCTAGTCAGCGCACTGTCAATTTCGGCAAACACATCCTCCTTGGCAAGACTTCCATCAATCTGAAGCAAACAGAAGTACAATCCAAGTTACATAATCCACAATCAAATGGATACAGTATTTTCATCATACAGTATGCAATCTCATCCCAACGGTTGCCAGCATAAGTTAAAATATAAAAGGCAAATTATGCAAATAGCACCTGCATTTTAGGCCTTGTTGCAATTTGCCACCTGGATAAAGGAAATGGAGTCACCCACCTCAGTTTAATCTAATTGCAATAGGCAACCTATGACTAACTCTGTTCTTTTTTCTGTCCAAAAAGTTGCATGTACTTTGCACATGACCCTTTCAACAGAGTGTGTGTTGACATCTTAGAGCTCAAAATACCCTTCAAACAGGCTGACCTGCGAATCATGTGCAACTTTTTGACGAAAAAGTTTGGTGGGAGGTAGCTATAGGTGCCACAGTGCAGCAAAATTGTAATGAAGTGGCCAACTCACTCAATTCTTTTCCAAGTGGAAAACGGAAACAACGGCTATAGATCAGATGGTATTGGTGTAATTTTCCCAAAAATAAAAAACATAATCCATTCTAACTATTTGACACTCATCCCATGTCAAACTTCTGCCATCTCAAAGGCATCAGCAATGTGAAGAGGGAGGTGTGTCAACAGTCAAGAAATAAATTCTGCAGTACTTTTCACAGGAAAAAAAAAAAAAACTATTTAAGTAACCCCTGCAAGTTATACATCTACAAATTTTATGATACCATGATCAACCTATGCATATGTTTATTTAGGGACTCCCGTTCTCCTAGATCCCAGGGTCCAAGGAAATCATGGTGATCCACCGTTCGATCTTAATTTAACATTGGAGGAGAAACACAATAAAAAAGTTAAGTGACCATCTGGATTGAGATTGAAATGGGGGTGACCACAATTTCCTTGGACCCTGGGGTCTACGAGAACATGTCTGTTTATTTAGGATCCTTCTCTTGATGATATCATGATACCATATGACACAATCCTTTATAAAGTTAGCTACCTTGGAGAAAGACAGTTTAGTAGGCACTTTTTTTTCTCCCAGGAAAAGAATATGCCCATGGAACCTGCTACTAGGCTTGACTTTACACCGTTTATGTTATCAGAAAACCAGACTTAGCTGTCAAGGTGAAGAGACTTTTCAGTGGGCCGGGAACACGGCCTTGTACACCAAGTGTCATATTACAAGTGATTGGATACTTTAAAAAATAATTTCAACCACTTATATTATGACACGATGTATCGGCAATGTTCCCGGCACACTGAAAACTTTTTCGTCATGGTGGACTATGCTGGTGCAAACTTGCAATTGCATAGGTGTACAATTATGAGTAGAGTAACGCCGAAAATGAGCAAGTATATCAAGAAAACAAACACTTAATAAATTGTTAAAAAAGAATAAGAAATGAGTGAGGTGAAGTGATTCTTCCTTTTCCTTTTTCTATTCCTCCCCACCCTCTCCAAAATATAAAATAAACAACACTAACAAATAAATAACCCTTTTCCCTACTGACCTTTTAATAACTTTTATTTTACAACTTTACCCTTGGGTAATCAGCACTGCCTCTTGGATATATGAAGATTGACAATTTGAAATGGGAATATGAGAAGGGAACAGCACCTCATCTTGGCTTCAGACACAAGTGTTGTTTTAAGCTACTTAGATATCATCTATATGATAAGCACAAGGATATACTTTCCTGGAATTCCTTTCATGCAGATTGTAATCAAGGTGTTGAATTTCAAGACACTTTCCCAGCGTGTGACTTTATTCTTATAGTGGAGGTAGTCTCGAAGACAACCATGATTAGCAAACGGATGATACATAAAGCACTCCCAATTGATTAGAATAATGCTTTAGAAAGATGATGTTGCTACGACTGCAAAAATTTCATATTTTATAATAGTGAGGAAATATGAGGTCTCCATTGGGTTGGCTGATCTCCAGCCTCCATAGCATTTAGGCTCAGCTAGCTCATGCTGGTAGGTGGGTCTTTGGGTTCATGGTGGGCATGTAAGATAAGGTAGGATGGGATTGGACAGCGGAATTTGGTAGACTAGAGGAAGCAAAAATACATAAAAGTTGAAATTAAACAATAATAAAAGATAACTGGAATCTATCCAGGGGCTTGACGCCCGTGGTAACAGGCCAAGAAAGGGTGTGAAACTAATCCTGCAGAAACAAACAATAGCAGAGATACCGTGGAAGGAATTGCTTCACCCCTTATTTGTATCTCTATAGGAAAATATCACTATATTGGCTGACCTATCAGAACATCGGTCAATATTTTTCATCCTTAACCTAACATACTAGCATCAATAGCACATGTTCAGGCAAGGATATAGTTGGACACCCCAAATATGTGGATCATTTGTTTTAATATCCAGCTATGAAATTAAACAAATGATAAAATGGTTGATGAGACAAGAATGTTTAAACCACTGAAGACTAGCTATCAACAAACATTGATATCCTAAGTTGATTTCGCATCATATTACCAGAAGACTAGATATCAATAGACCCGTGTATACAAGTAAATAGCATACACATATAAGAATAAATAGAACATGCACATAGGGTGTACAAGTAAATACACACATTGAGTACTACACGGATATGTACATTGTGCAAATAAATATATGTAATGTTTTTTTAAACAAGAGGCATCACATACACACATTAGAGAGAGAGAGAGAGATTATATACATGCCTTAACTGTTATGTCTTCGTACATTGAAAGTACCGCCTCCACATTCTGATGATGAGTGTGTAATCGCAATTTCACCTTTTGTTGAAGTAAAATAAAAATAAATATAATTTAGTCGCTAAGTGGCTATACTTGATTAAAAACCTACATGGACTATCAAAGAATTAAGAAAATCTATTAAACAAGAGAACAATGATAATTGATCACCTTGAAGTCAAAGTATTATGAATTGGAAGAATGATTCAAAATTTACCTTTTCTTCTGTATCATCAAAACGTTGGGTGAGCCTTGACGCTATCTCTTGGGTCTCTGGCGGAGAATACTTCAAATGGTATATCTTTCCAGTAACAGGATCTAACCTTCTTCCAACAACTCTCTCAACAAGAATATCTTCTGAGACCTGCAAATCAAAAGTCAGATGGTTAACAACAGTTGTGAAGCTCACACTGACTTTTTGCATCCAACAAACGAAAATTTCCATTGTTCTTTTTTTTTCCCCACTATGCATCAGAAAAGCTAAAATTCGTGATATAAAACAATTTTCCTGGCTTATAAACTAAAAAAAAAAAATCAAATAAAAGAACTAAAATACGCATCGATGCTTCTTCAAGACTATCTCCTATTTATGTACAATGTTTGAACAATTATAAAACAGTAAACGTGAACAGCAGCAAAAACTAATCCTTACTTCTAGTAGAATGAAAAGATCCGGCTTGAAGCCTAATTCCTTAAGAGCAAGTGCTTGCGATGAACTCCTAGGGTACCCATCCAAAAGCCAACCTTTTTCTTGAGAATCTGGCTGCAATAGACGGTCTTTCACCATCTACAGGATTAAAACCAAGGAATCATCACTAGCATGACAAAATGTCAACATAAATAAATTTTCCTTGTTCCATGTACTCCCTACCATGACAACTATTTCATCCGGAACCAATTTTCCTTGTTCCATGTACTCCCTTGCACGCCTTCCATTTTCACTCCCAGAAGCAATTTCTGCTCTAAGTAAATCTCCAGCAGCGACGTGCACTAAACCATACTGCATATAGAGGATGACTTGATTCAATCTGCTTTCGTCATGAGACAATCATGACATAAAGTGGTAAGTAGTAACTTATATAAACAATGCTATAAATTCATAACAATTTGAAAACTTCTCCGGCCTCAAATTTTAGCGTCACGAAGATACATACATTACACATACAATCACATCCGAAATCAATCAATTGCTTTACGTGCATACCCATTATATCTTAGGCAAACAAAAACTGCATGAAAATTGTACAAAATGGGACTCCTCTGAGGCGAATAAAACATTGGTATCATTGCACTTTCGAGTAGCAAAAGTCCCAAGTTGCAGATAGAACCAGCAAATCAAAACAATTAGGTATAAAATTTCGTAATAGCAAGAACTCACTTTCTGAGTAATCAGCTGGCACTGCGTTCCTTTACCGGAAGCAGGCGCCCCCGATATCATTATTCTTAGCGGCTCCGCCTTGCCACAACCTTCAACCTATTAAACAACAATAATAATCCATAAAATTAACTAAAAAAATAAACAAAAACAAGAAATTGTGGTGGGAGGGTAAATGCGTACCAGGAAATTGGGAGCTTTGCTGGAACGAGAGGGAATTAGGGTTTGAGGGCGAGAGGGGGAGAAGGTGGAAGCGAAAGAAGATTGGGAGGATCGAAGGAGCTTGAAAGGCTTGGGCTTTGAATTGGAAGACGAAGACAGATGTGCGCAGGGGAGCTGAGGAGGAGCTTTGTTAGGCTGTGCTATGGCGGATGCCATTGCTTGGTGGACTACACTTACATTGCAAGCCATTCTCTCTCTTCCTTGCGCGCGCTCTCTCTCTCTCTCTCTCTCTCGGCGGGCAGACTTCACTGCGCAGAGATTCACATCCACCGTTAAGTTCAACTGTAGCGTTAATATTTAAAGATTTGGCTATTATCAAGGGGTGGGCATCCCCATACGGCCAAACATGGGATTGTAGTTTTTCCGAAGACATGGAATAAGGGCGAAGCTATCTGTGTACATTTTTTTATCTTCTGTACAACTTTATTAATTTCTATTGTAGTATTTCTCTTTATTTGTAAATGATAGATATTAAGTTTGATTCTTGTAATATCGTTTGTTCAAAAAAAAAAACAAAAATTTATGTCATTTGATCATCTTTGATTCATTTGATTCGAGACCAAAAATTGAGATGGGTCTATAAAAGGTAAGCATGAGTGTGTGGATAGATTAGTTGTAAAATAAGCGATTAGGGGTTTGATAAATTGTATTTTGAGAGTGTTGCAAGTACGAAAGGTAGTATAAAAGCATTTAGTAAATTTTAATATAAAAGTGATATAATCGTGTATATGACAAAAATAGACATGGTGGTGTGGGCTGGGATGGTGGTGATGACAGTGATGGTAAGGACAATGGTGGTGATGGCAGCTGCAAATGGTTCTGGTGATGGTGGTAGTGGTGGTGGGGACGGCGGTGGTAAGGGTGGTAGTGGTGGCAATTGTGGTTGTGATGGTGGTGGTGGCGGCGGCTGCAGCGGTGGCAATGATAGGTGGTGCTAATGGTGGTGATTGTGCAAGGTTAGTGGTTGTAGTGGTAGGTAGTGAACTCACTTTGTTCTCCGACAAAGAAAATAAATGTAGAATGATTAAAGAAGGGTATAAAATATCCATTAAAGGCTCAACTCTGTTTTTTTATGAAAATAGCTTTTAAAAGCAACCTACAAACTCCTTTTAAAAGCTACTATCTAGAGGACAATACTTTCAAAATAAGCAAAAGTTTTTATTTTTTTTCCAAACACTTCTTATTGCATAACTGTAAAGTGAATTAGTTTTTGGTAAAAAAATAAAATAAAAACCAAACGGGGCCTAACTGCAGTAGTCGTCTACCACTTATTACTACATTTTTATTTTATGAACATTCCTCTTAACTTGTAAGGCCTTCCATAAAATTTTGAGTGAGTGTGATACTTATATATAGGAATCAGACAACTTGAGTTTGCTAACACTACTGCTACATTAATGTGAGTCTAATATATTGCCATTGTAGGATGAGTTTGATATATTAAATGTGGGACCCGTCTACTTTTGTTTTATCTCTATTTTATGATTGGTTACTTCATTTCTCTCTCTTGGTATGTATTGTATAGGTATCTTATATATGAGTTCAATATATTAAACTAAAAATAAGAACTCATAACACTCAAATTTTCGGCTACTATAGGAGTTTGATTTTTATATTATTAGTATCACACTCAATTTCCTGTCCACTATGGAAGACTTTAGTATAAATGTATTATTATATAAAAATGACCATTTTAGTTTAATTTTTTATGCAATGATACATTTACAAACTCACCCTTTTAGGGTGAGGGGAGTAAATTGGTTTGATTTTGACTTCAAATAACAAGTTAAACAACTCAAATCAGCCAACTCCTCTTAGTGTAGATTATATCGTTTGTTTAAAAAAAATCAGAAGTGTAACAATTGGGTTGGCTACAATTTTGAGCTTTGTGAACTGCCTTAAACTGAACTGGATTGACCATTACATATTTATTTTACATTAAGGGGCAAGAGAATAAATTGCTATCAAACTCGTCATCCACAAAATTTAAATTTATAATCTCTCACTTACAAAGGAAGAAAATATGACCCGTACTTAAAATTGAAGGTTGAAACTATGAAGTTATTGACTCTTAAGTTGTAACTATATTTGTTACTAGCCCTTGAACTTTGGTAACATCTTAGTTTTTAGGATGGTTTGATGCTAGAAAATAAAAGTTATGTAGAAAATGATGGATTTTTATTGTTATAATTGGGCTAATGATTATTAGGTTTAGGTCCAAACTGCCCGAACCAAATCATCCAAAATTAATTTGGTATGATATCCTTTAGAATTTTTGTCACATCCGAATCGAATAATGTGAGTGAAAATGGGCATGGGTTTGGGATAGCGGTCCATCTCGAACCATGCCCATTTCTTAGAATATTGTGCTGATGAATTAAGGACCTAAATTATAGGGAGAAATTCACTATAAGTAAATTTATCTAATGGAAAAATTAGTTGTGTTTTTTACTTGTAAGTTCAATTCTTTAAAAACAGTCTACCAAATGCATTTTACACTCGTTTTTTGTATCTGTAAAACGAAAAGTTCACCAAATATAAGATTGTAACATCAATTTTTGAATTGTTTACCCCTTCATTTAACAGAAAAAATAGACGAAGTTGACGAAAAGAACTAAAATGCCACTCCAGTCGAGAGTGAAAATGAAAGGGGAGGGGGGACAAGCTCATGGACAATTTTGTGATCAACCCAAATAGTAGCAATATAGATTAAGGGGTAAAACCAAAGTATATATAAAGGATACAAAAGGGAGATTCAAGTTTAAGCTGACTAGTCAATGTTTTATACATACACACCATTGCTGAAAGATCAATCATCAGACATGTCCTGACTTGCTTCCATCCATGAAACGAGGGTGTTGACATGAGGCATGTAAGACCGCCGGATACATCCATTTACCATGTCGACCTTCCTCATCTCTTGGTCTCGAAAACTATAAGCATACAACGAGCCATCTTCGTCTCTCTTGAAAATAATATCTCCCTTGATTCTTAAACTGAAAAGAGGAACCATGTCTATGACGGAACCCACTGTGATACTGTGATTCTTTGTCCAGACTTCCCCGCACAAACCTTTCAAGATCCAAATGTCGATATGGTTCACGTCCTCATGAATGACAAAACTCAAAAGGCCACCCATTTCAAGGATCCTGTCATGAGTTCGGCTGGGTTTTGGGAGCGGTATTTGGTGAAACTTCTCCTTCTCAACTTCCATAGATACTATGTAATCGCTGCGGTCAACTTGAGGAATCCAGTGAAGACCTCCAATGGCTGAAACAGGTGCATATCCAAACCAACGAAGGAGCCTGAATGGAGGGCCATTTACCTCTCTCCATGCTTGTGTCCAAAGACTCAAAATCTCACAGCTGTCAAACCCCAACTCATCCCGAAACAAGTGGATTACTTTGTATTCACCCGTAACATCATTCAGTATAAAACCATAGGATTCACGACGTGGATGAGATAAAGTACCCAGAGGAAGTGCAATCAGCTTCCTAGTCACAGGATTCATGACTGCCAGTCCTCCTTTCTTCACCATGTTATCAAGCAAAATTAGACCATTGCAGGTGGCTCTGATCATGCCCGAGCATTTTAAATTGTACTCTCCTATCTCACTCTTATCATTTTTGAAGTCCAGAAACTGGACAGAATACATTGGAGAGTTTATGAGAGGGTGGCCAAAAATGGGGATAGGGTTTGGATGAAAAAGTTTTAGTTCAACCGAGACAGTGTTTGGCTTTTCTCGTGGTATAGAAACCTTAGAAAAAGGGTATAAACTGTCCTTTGGAATTGGTGATAGAAAGATCAAAACAGATTCAGAACGATGGAGATGAGCATCAATGAATTTGGGGTTTTTAATTATGTTATACCAAGGCTTGCAGACAAACCTTGACCTTTGAAGAGAGTCGAGAGGAAGTCGCACAAGGATATTTGATACACAATCTTTATGGAGGTAAGGGGCTTGTGCTTCTGGCCACTGTTTTTTCTCTTCCTCTAATTTCTTGGTCAACGATCTCTCCTCCACTAACCTTAATAAGCCTGCATTCTTGTTTCCAATTAATTTCTCCATTATGGCCTTTTAGTTTAAGCACTTGACACCTACAAATAAAGGATAACGTTACAAACATTCATTTCCAAATGAAGTAAGTATTAAATAAGCCAAAAATAAAATATAAAACAAGAGAGTGAGGATAACAATGGCTTGGCAGCTTTCAGGAAAGCATCAAATGAAGTCATGAAACGTACTATGTGGAAACCTATTTCCACCGCCCAATGAGAATATTACACTTGAACTGAAGGATGCCGCTTTCACTGTACCCCTCAATCCAACACGGGAAAGCTATGCACGATCTCACCCTGCATCAAATGAGGTAGGTGAAGCCTCGACTTGCAAACCCACAGAGGAAGCCTCCTCTGTTGGGCTCGCGTACCAGACATACCAATTATTGCCCAAAAGCTCATCAACCCCTGCAGGCCTAATAAGGAATACAACCCAGATAACGGTTGATACTGCGACCAATAAGCACACACCATATGTACCGCTACAAGCTACAATCATTCTTGAGTTAAGCCAGTATAAAAGGACCAGGTACGACTACGCTGGGGGCATGCTATTCAGAAGGTCCTACTTAGGATGACATCTAACTTGCTTAGGACCAAAAGAAGCTCAAAAGGTATTAAGAATATAATTCATGACGGGGAGTGTGCCCTAGTAAAAAAGGCTCTAAAATCTAGCCAACCATGCACTAGGATGCCAGATTTATGCGCGCAAATGAGACAAGTGTCAGAGCCTCTCCGCAACACCTCGACAGCCAATCTAGAAACTTAACCCCCAACCTCTGCACAGAGCTCCTGAGGATATTTGCTGCATCCTAGTGGCTACCGATTACTTCACAAAAATAGGTTGATGCATTGCCTCCGCAGCTTGCGTACCAAACTAACAACAATAATAATCATCCAACTACAGCTCCCCACCAATCGCAATCGACATGAATCAAAGAAAACAGAAACTGCTTCCCAATTCTTACACTACACTATATAATTGTCACCTCCTCCTCCTCCTCCTCCTCATCATATATAAAATGGTCCAAACCAAACCTCAGTGTCGTTTTAGAGCGAGATTGCCAAACAAATCATTATATATACATATATATATATATGCATATAATTTCAGGGTAGTAATAGTAACGAAGCCATTAATTAAGACAGACTACGACTTGACTTTTGTTGATCAAATTCAATTCAGAAACAGACTGGTTAGCAAAGAACAAGTAACTATTTATTTGACAAACACCACATCACACCACAACAAAACATCCACGGTGGCAGGACCGGTGGTCCACAAAGCAAGCAGCCGGCCCTCCCTCCCTAGATCTAATCGCAAGCAGGAAAAAAAAAAGAGGGAAATTCAACGGTAGTTCACTAAAAAAGGGCGCCCCAAGCTAACAAGGGTCCCGCTTTACGAGGGTCGGGGAACGTCTAATTCTACTGTAAGCAGCCTTACCTTGCTTTGCAGGCTTCCACGACTCAAAAATGTGACCCTTCAGTCACAAAGAAGCAACATTTCCGTTACGCCGAGCATCGCAACCTTTTGAGTAAATTTTTCAAAAGAGAGAACCCAGAACCCAGAATCAAGAAGAATTAATTCAATTGTACGAAGTGAATGTGAAATGGTAAAAAAAAAAAAAAGAGTTGGGAATTGGGATCATATCTCAAATTCCCTGCGATTGGAATTGGAATGGGATCATGGGATTACCTGATCGATGATTGTGATTGATTCGTCTGGCGAAAGTGATCGAAATTCACGACGTCTGCGTCTCGAAATTTTGTAGAGAGAATGAAAACTGAAACAAAAGCTACTTACTACTACCACCCCACTTATACGACAAAGGCGACGACCAAGACCACGACCAAACCAAAGGAGAAATGCTCGTCTTCCGTTACCCACAACGCCAGCTGGTGCCCCGTGCCCTCTCTCTCTCTCTTCCGTTGAAGCGTGTCCCTCACAATTTAATACTATTTTATTTCGTGTAAGCCAATCTACACATTCGTTTTTACTTCTCATACATCTTTCTCAATTTCGGCCTTCAAATCAAATGAATACAAAAATATCAATGACTTAAAATTAATAAGAATGTGTAAGATATAAAAATTAGTTTGTGAATATCACAATCTTTTTATTTTATGAAAAAAAAAAAAAAAATGTGATCTCGTTCAATCTAATTTTGAAATTTTGGAAGAAAATTAAGTGCAGTCTCTTCCAAATGTCAAATGGGAATACAATTACTTTTGGCCTACCAAGTCAAACAGAAGGTTAAAATAGATGCGATAGTCTGAAAAAAAATGTATTTGTGAGAATTTAAACTCTCGAGTTAGAGAAATTTTTTAGTTTTTCTAAAATACGAGTACACCACATATCAATATACAATGAAACACTTATAAATATATTTTTCACCAATTATATTATGACATATGAACAATCCACTCATGTTCTAAAAACATTGAAAATTTTCTCCTCAAGTTCTAGTTGAGGAGTTCCAAACTAACCGCTAGAAGAACCTCTGCTAAGGGTAGTGCAGGGCCACCAAACTATCGTGAGCACAAGGCAACAGATTAATACTTCGCTTAGGTTTTTTTTTTTTTTTTTTTTTGTGTGTGGAAACAAAAGCTTAGTTGTTAAGTTTTGGTTTATTTTATTTTAGTGTAAAAATGACAGTCAAATAAAAAAGAAAGGAGCCCCGCCGAGTACCAGTTATCCTCTCCGCTCCTCCTCTGTCAGTCCAGTCAATCCAGTCAGTCGACATCCTCGAGTGGGTCGGCCGTGGGCGTGGGGAGTGAGTCTACTAGTCAGCGTCATCACGGCCGTAATTAAATTTTTATTACTTTTGACCCTGAATTTCATTTCTTGGGAGTTACCTCGTCAAAAGGATTCGGATAGGATCCTAAAGATCTGTAAATCATGTCTGTTCATCATATATTATGCGATTATTTTTTGTAAGGTACGGTTTGTAGTTAATTTTAAATAAAAATATTTAAAATTATTTCGACTGTTTAATTAAAGATATTAGATTCTGGGTGTATGTCAGACTGGTAAGCTTAATCGGAGGAATACAGTGACAGTCCAAGTGGCTGCCCAACCCATCCTGTAGTTATTTCTGTGCTTCTAGCAAAAACAGCCTCATCTTTTCCATTCCTAACCGCTGTAAGCCGAGCTGACCCACGAAAAGTAAGGACTTTCAACGTCCCTATATGTACTCTTCACTAATTGTCGGGAAACTAGGAAGAGGATTCTTTCCCCTCCGTATCTCTCTTTCCTTTCCTCTCCTTCTACTTGGACGGTTAAGATTAAGCTATGTCAATATCTTAAATTAATTTTTTTATACAGACAAAAAGCAAAGAAAAGAGTGAGAGGAGGAAAGGGAATGAGATGCACACAAAAAATTATAAAAAGCAAATAGAAATTCAAATTACAGAAACTACAAGTAAACTAGTAAAAAAACAAAACCAATAGTCTTGAGCTTATTAATTTTTTTCGCAGCACAGGCATTGCTGAGTTCCACCGAATTTTAAACATAGAAGGCCGAATGTTCAAATTTATTTAAAAACAATAAGCAGTCTCAGCACAGCAGACACTATTGTACAAAATCACATTTTCGATCAAAGCTACGATTACAAACTCCCGAAAGAATTGTGTAGCAAAGAAATTACGAGTATCTCTCACCTTTTGATTTTCCTCTGTTTATTTTTCCTGCCATTTTTGTTTAGCTTTTTTGAGCTTCTAGCAAGTCCAAGACGACGATCTCTTAAGGACTGGCTTCATTTGTTTGTCCTCTTCGAGCGAAATCATCCCCAAGTGTGACGGATCCTCTAGCATCATCTTTGCAACCAGATATCCTGCTATCGACCATGTCTGGTACTTCCTTGCTTGTTTACCAATATATCTTCCTAGTTTCCCGTCATAATATTCTGGCCAAGAATCTTTTAGCAGACGACTCTCAGCAAGCTCGATTGCCCGTCTTGCAATTTGTGGTCTTCCCGTTTTGATGCAAGCGGCAGTTAGCATCCATAAAAGCACTGCAGCAATTTGAAACACAAAAATGTTAAAAGGATATGTATGGTAATGCGATTATAAGAGAGAATAGGTTAAGTTGGTTTACACATGTGAAACAATGACCTAAAGATGCTCCGCTTAAAAAATGCGATTATGAGACAGAGGCTCAGGCCAAATGAGGTAGAGGAAGACCTAGGAAGACTTGAACGAGACTTTAAGAAATGACATGGAGTTCTTGGAACTAACGGAAAACTTAGCGCAAAACTGAGCGCAGTGGCATTCTAAGAATCATACAACCAAACCCCCTAGTGGGATAAGGCTTGGTTGTCGATATGTATGGTAATAATCTTGGTGTGGTTTTTTCAAAGTGGAAACTTCATCTAGACCAGTCCTGGGGTAGATAATGGGGGGCAATAACAGGTAACGAAAACAAAACAAAACAAGGCGGGGCAAGGGAATGCAGCCCAATGCTAGGCAAGGGAATCAAGTATATTAGGCATGAAGCCTGCTTGGTTCTTTTACGAAATTGAAAAAATAGATAACTGCATGAAATATACCACCACCGTTTTCCAAAAACAAACTTGAAGAAAGAGATACCAAACTTACTTTTTCAGGATGAGTATTCAGTTCAGAAGTCAAAGACTTAAAATGAAAACAAAACAAGGCTGCTATTTTCATACTACTTGAACACTGTATTTAAAATATGCTTTTGAAAGCTCATCTAAGCAAGAAATCTTCCATCACGAAAAACATCCATAGTCCACAACTGATTTCCACCTTGGAAACCAAGCTATAATCCATAACGCAAATAATGATAAAATGATCTACCATCACAACTATTCAATTTGAATTTTATTTGCAGCAATAACATAGAAACTTCAAGTAGAGGGACAAACCTGGCCAGGATCCTCCATTATGGTAACTCCATCTGGTATTCTTGGGATCACAACCAGTTACGATTCGCCACTCATGACTGTCTATTGCTGGATAACATATTTTTAACGGCATTTCTCCAACCAACTCTTCCCAACGAGATTCAATGAGATCCATTATAGCCACTGATTGCTCTGGGGTTGCAAGAGAAGATAGAATTGCAACACAGTTACCCAAAGCAAACCATCGAAAATCCATCCTAGCAGGACTCACGTTGCCAATAAAGTAGCCACCACGGCATGGCATAAAATCAAATACCCAATCTGGGATGGAATCAGGAATGACATTGAACTTATTTACAGCTGCGTGCGAGTACTCTTCAGTCTTGTAACGGTATATATCATTTAATTGTTGGAAATCAAGCCAGAAGTAAACTCGCATATGGTAACTTAAGGCATGCAAACGCTTAGCAATTCGCTCTATGAATTCCTTTCCTTCTCCATCAGGTTTCAGCATCCCCAATGCACATCTCAATGCCACAAAGAACAGAGCTTGGATTTCAATCGGATAACCATAAATTCCCTGGATAACCATATAACATGTTAAATAAGATAAGACATCTTTTAAGGTTAAGTATATTAAAACCACGATATAGAAATAAAGCAATCAAGCAGACAAGAAAACTTGAAGCCAGCTACAAACCTGCATAAACGTGAAGACTAACGGACAATAATATATAACTAAAAGATTTATGCAAATGTTTCCTTTCTCGTTTTTTTCTTACTAAAAACTTCAAGCTACAAACCTTCATAACAGACAAGAATTATCCTTTTCTCATTTTTTTATTCTTTTATTATAAATAAATAATATCCTTCGTAAGCTTCTAAACCTTCATCTATTGGGGCAACAAATCATATTCACTTTTATTATGGGAGGAAGTGGAACTTAGTCCGCTATCCATCCATACATGTCAATGGATAAGGCATTAGACTCTAACAAATAGAACCGCAAGAACATGACTTTCAAGTTTCAACGCTTTACATAATTACAAATTTCTTAATAAGCTAGAGCACTGATTAAAGCCACTTTTAATCAATGTCAATGCAGCTATCATTGTTGTCTTCAAATGAAGAAAGCAGGAATATACTGCTAATAAAAACGATACTAGGGGACAACCCATATGCAGACAGATTGCTATACGAGAAGTCTATTGGTAATATATTCCTTCAGGCACAATAAATTCGTCACCGAGTATTAACCATCAGTCCACACACTCCCACACACATATTATTCAGATAATTCATCTTGTGGGTCAATTCATGTAAACGCCAAACTATGCCTTGTTACTTCTCAGAATTGTAATATTGAATGTAAGAACTAAGGGTAACGTGCTACGTACATTACATCCAATTTCATGTGCACTCCAACCACATTTAAACAGTGTATCATCTATTTGAAATTAAACCTAGCAAAGAAACCACAGTTACAAACCTGTAATCTTATAACGGTTAGGGACAGAAAGACTGAAGATTAATGACCTTATGATGGCTTTAAAGGACTTCTCAAGCTACGTCTTATTTGCACTGGCAATTAAGTTTCTTTTCGAAAAAAGAAATTCCTTTGAAAATGAAGTGCAACTTACCATTCTACGGTCAATCATGGAGCATCCATCAGCACAAAGCAACGTTGGGAACGTGTCAAAACCTTCTGAGAGACATAGAGTCAATATGAGCCTCATTCCTTTTTGACAATCTTCTGTTTCCACGAGACATAAATCCCCGGTTGATTTTGTATATGCACGGAGCAGTATAATCCACCAAAAACCAGAGTCAACAGGAGCAACTCTTCCAATTGCACTCTCTCCGAAATCTGCAATGATTGTATCTGACTTTCAGATAGGGTCATGAAGAACTTTGAAACTTGCTGGCATTGCACCTTCCCCGAGCTTGAACCTGTCTATTCTCTTTTCCCATACTTGAAGCTGCAGGGTCTTCAAGAGGAAGTTCTTAACTATCTCTGGCT